ACTGTTCAAATCTGGGGAGAGAGGCTTGCCAACTCAGCTAATCAGACTCACAAGAAAGTATCAGCTAGAAAGCCAGTTTATAAAAATGGAATGGGAAATAGAACTGTCACCTAAACTGAACTTTCCAAACATTTTTCTTCCACTTTTACTACTTCTACTGGTAGCACTGCCATGAGTGGCCATTTGGGGCCTGCTGCCCAGTCCTGCTAGGTGATCTATGCCCTTCATTGCCCATGCTCCAAGCAACCCTCCCAGGTTGATTTCTATCATTCGTCCATTTATTCTGGAGGGTCAGCTTATCTCTAAGTTCTCCAGATAGCTGGCTGTCTCCTCCTCTGAAGTGCATTCATATTCTACCTTTTATTTCTGGTTCAAACAGGGCATGAGATCTGGTGGGATGAGGAGAGAACTCTTGATCCCTTGGTCTCTTTTTGTGTGCCTCAGCCCCCTCCCCAGACCCCGCCATCTGCAGGCTCAGTGCTCTTCTCCAAAAACTGCCTGCTGATTTGTTGTGCTACCTTCTATTTAAATAGACTCAAGGTCTTCAGATCGAGTAGTGGCTCATAGCCCCCACCAAGGATCAGTGTTCTGTGCCATCATGTTATAACAGAATATGTAAAATCCTATGCTCATTTCAATTTCAAAAGACCCTGGTATGTGTTCAGTTGGATCTTAGCACTGCATAGCTGGGGAGAAGACAGCGGTTTTCATTGTATGAAGAGTCAAGAAGAGAAACAACTGTGGCTTTCTGGCTTCTGCACCGAGTTTCAGCCCAGGATGGTAGTCAAGGCGCTTGGGGTTCTTTCCAGAAAGATTGCATTCTTCCCACGGATTGTGAGGATGACAGGGCAGCGGTGGCCACCTGGGCCTCCTGGGACAGAGCAAAGGAGCAAACCATTGCAGCTTCACCGTTTGCTTAAGATTGGAAACCTATCTGGGATTTGACACACGAAAAGATGTTAGCTTTGCTGGCATCTTCAGAAAAACCAGCTGAGGAGCCAATAAAGTGGGGACTAGAAACATTTTTCAAAGCCCCAGCAGTTTGAAGTAGCAGCATTCAGAGAAAAGGCTGTTGTTTTGTGTGGAATTTCTTGCTTATTAGCTATGGTATCTGGTGGAACTCAGCCACATGTGCGGGTATAGTGCATACTACCAGGGGCAGAGTCCCATCTCCATGACGTTCTGCAATGACAATAAAGAAGCTAGTTCAGAGCTCATAATAAGCACTTCCTTGGGGAATCAGAATTGTTCTGGTGCAGTCAGAATTTATGAAACCCAATACATTATTTCTTAGAAATCATATTTCTGCTCTGCAAGACTTATAAATATAAATAGCTATATAAACATAGCTGTTATCCATCAGTTATCTTCTATGTTCCTATAGGTGAGCCCTCTTTCCTCTCCAGTCCCAACTCCAAATGCCTGCAATTTCAAAAGAGAATTTCTCATCATACAAATAATGCATAAATACATTTGCTTTATAAAAATTAATACAATACAGAAATTTAAAAATTCAAATTAAACTGTTCCTGACTAGCACTCAAGCCCACCTCTCCATCAACTTTCAGGACTTTTCTATTCACGCACATTATTTTATATCGCTCTGTCTGGAACCTTCCTGGCATCATACTCTGTTTTGTTCTGCCGTTTGTCCTGGGGATCTTTCTATGTGGGCATCTTGTTTTTTAACTGCTCTGTAGTATTCTCTCCCATGGTTATGCCATAATATATTGGCCATTCCTGTAATGATGAACGTTTCTATCATTTCCGTTTTTCCACGATCGTGTTGCCTGTTGTGAACATCCCTGTCTATGCCTCTTTGTGAACTTGAGGACATCTCTGCAGGAGATACTAAACAGGAGATGTGACTTGGTAAAGGATAAGTGTGTTTTACATTTTCAATAGACCTTGCCAAATCGTCCTGCAAACTCTGGGTACCACTGTATGCCCCTTCCAGCAGTGATACTGCAATTCTACTGTAGTCGTTTTGTAGGTGAAGGCTTTTGGTCTAAAGAAGCATCTGCTATTAAAATGCAAATCACTCTGGGGGGGTGGGTGACAGGTTTTAAGTCCTTAAAGCCTAACAATGAGTAGTGTAGTGTAGCTTTAGGGGTAGTTTTGCTGGAAGCTGGGAAGAGAGCGGCCTATAAGACTTCTAGGAAGCCATGGAGCAGCCTGACGATTTAGGGCAACAAGAGGTGGGAGTGGGACCGTCCAAAGGAGGTTAGAGAGTTGAGGGCAACTAGAAACCAGGGAAGGGCTGAGGAAGCTGGAAGACTAATAGCAAAGAACTAAACCCCCTACTTCCGTTAGGGGTGTGGGCGCGGCAGGTGTTTTGTATACTCTTGTCCCTAATACCTCCTGCTCCCCCATCCCAACCTCCTCCTTCTTTTCTCCAAGAGCCTCACTTGCTGTCAGGGCAAACACCGTGTTTTATGACTCTCCTTAGGCAGTGTCAGCCTTTAGGGGAATTGACAAGGACAGAGATCTCAGCCTAAACCAGCTCCCGGCCAAATTCTTTCCTGATAGATAATGATCATTTCTAAGACCAGAAAGGCAAAACAGAACGTTAATAAAACCTCTTACCCCGTCCTGTTCCTAGTGGGCATCCATTCAACATGTAAATACAGTGAAAATCTTCTGAGGATTTTACTCATCCCAAAGCATTTTGCCATCTTAGAATCTGGGACCAACGTTTGCTTTGTTCTCAAGAACCTTTCCAACCTATTAGTGGAAAAGGGGAAGAAAGAGTTATTTCACAATCCAGTTCATATGTTTTACTCTCTAATGTTTAATTCATTTAATGAGACATTTAAACCTTGCAGAGAGAGGCTTATTTAAGACTGAATAGCATTTTTTACAAGTTGGATTTGAAAAATTGTAGCAGATTATTTTAATGGAAGTTTTAAAATTTCAACCAACTTGGCGTCACCTTTTATTTCTTTGCTTTGCTCAGCATCAGAATCACCTGAGGTGATTTTCAAACTCTGGATACCCAGGTCGTACTCCAAATTAATTAAATCAGAAGCCTGGGAGTGAGAGCCAGGGGTCAGGAGTTGAAACTACTGATGCAATGGCTAAGAGAAAAAGATCTTTTTGGTTTAAAAATATAATTTCTAGGAAGTACAAGACAATCATACAGTTAAACTATTTCAAATAGTTTGTTTTCCTGTGATCAAAGAATTCCATGATGCAATAGACCTATTGAACAGTAATTTACAAAATGAGATATAATACTAATAAAATTTGCCAAATTGAGCCTTTCAGGTGGGTTTTTGGTTATAACATCACTGAGTACAGAATGAACATAAACTGCAGTGTTTTTTAATATTTATGACAAGTTTGCGTGTGTTACAAAGATAGCACAGGCATGCTTTATGAGCCTGAGACGGTGTTTTTAATGAAAAGTGGACAAACTTCTTAGTAAGCGGCAAAGACAACACACCAGCAAAAGAGCACTTCAGAGAACCTCGTTAAGGATTTAAGTGAATCATGGTTATTTTTGAACCTTGGGGGTGGGGAGAAGTAACCAGAAAGAGCCTTCTTTGCACCTGCATCTTGTCCAGCTATTCAGGCACTAAATATTAATTTTACTGCATACACATACTTCCACTTAATTACTTTTAAAATTCTAGAGAATGCTCCATAACTTAAGCTCCCCCTCCCACCCCAGCTGGGATGGGATTCACGTCCCACCCGGATCAAAGAGCAGGCCTGTTGTCTATTGCGGGTGAGTCAGCACCTGTACTCTGCAAGAATGCCTACAAACCCCGGAGCTGCTTTCTTCTGAAGAGGGAGGGGGAAGGGAAGGAATTTAAAAACCTGCAGCAGCATGGGGGAGGGGGCCGTTTGTCCTTCTCTCTAGGGAAGCAACTCGCTCAACCCTCCTTCCTTGCCTGAGCTGCTCCCATAGCTTTGCGTAGGACCTAGAGAAGTTGGCTCTATCCATTACAGCTAGGTGGACTCTCAGCGACTTCTGCTGCTGTTGGGCTTTTTTTTAGCTTTTCTTACTTGCTGGCTGGGTCTTTAAAGGGCAATTGTTGAGGCTCTTCGAACACACCCATTTGGTGTCTGCCCGCTTGGGAAGTCTTCCTTTGGGACGGTAGCTGCCTCCCCTTTCTCCTGCCAGCCACGTCCCTTCTCTGGACTGAGGATGCCTGCTCAGACAATGGTAGGTGCTTCAACTCTTCCTGATCCGAAGGGAGGAGAGTTACCAACAGTTAGTTCTAGGGCAGTCCTTTGGGGGAACTGACCTTGGGCTTCTGTCCAGCTGAAGTTTGGGTCGTGCCTCTTGGTGACTCGTGGCGAGTCTTTACAAAAGCAGAGCGAGCGACCGAAATGGCGTGCGTGTTTCTGCTCTCACCTGCCTTCCCTCTTCTTTCGTGTTCTTATCATAACCCAGATTATCACTACTTTTGTGAGCACTCTCTTTACTCTTCTCATTTTGCACTGTCACAATAGTGGCCCGATCCGATCTTTCAAAATATACTTTAGAAAAAGGGAGAACGAGTTTAAGTAAGTTCATCTCTAAAGAAACCTAATGTTTTTAGCCTTATGACTCCTAAGTGTAGAATTCTACCCCAAGATCTGACTGTGTTTTGAATGGGAGGGACAACCTGTCTGAAACTGACTTAGCCTATTTATGTGTTTTTGCTCTTGTTGAGTGGAGGGAAATGTTCCAAAGTTCTCGTGTTTTTGAAGATATGGTTGAACCTTGTTTAAAAAACAAAAAAGAATCCTTCAAGGCAATGTAAGGTGAGTGATAATTGTGTGTAATTTATATTGATTTATGTCTCAGTAGGTGGGTATCTTTTTTTCTTCCCCTGAGAGCCGAACCCTTTGGCTTAAAAAACATATGTAGGAAAGAAGCCTTACAAGCGTGTAACAGTCTCGTGACTCACCTCACCTCGTGTCACACCTTCTGTCGTTATGGACGAACTTAGTGTGTTTTCTGTCTGAGCTTGCCTCTAATTTGCCATAATCTTTCCACTGTCCTACAGGACTACCAGCCAGAATCCCAGAAATCATGTTGGTAGGATCCCAGTCGTTCTCACCCGGAGGGCCCAATGGGATCATTAGGAGCCAATCCTTCGCGGGGTTCAGCGGTCTGCAGGAGAGGCGATCCAGGCAAGTGTGTGTGGTTCTCTCCTGGGATGCAGCTTCAAAAGGACACAGTCTTCAATGCTCTCAAGAGGGTCTGTGGGCATGCCACCTTGTCAAAACACACACATAGGTGTTACTTTAACCGATTTCAGGAAAAAGATGTCATGTACCAAAAACTAAGTGCTGTAGTTTTTCTATCATTTAGAATTCCTCCTGCAAAGAGGTTGGCTGAAGATTTAGAATAAGCTAGCAATATATGTGTCTAGCTCTCCCTACCCCCACCACGCCCCTTTTTGAAGCACATTTTCCATTGCAGCCAGATTTTGGAGACTATGTTTGGTATGAAGCTATGCAGTGGATAAAGACTGCTTCTTCAAATTGAGTCTGGGGAGCAGATGTCATTCAGATACCAGCTTAAGAGAGTTAGTCTTCTAGTTTTCCTGGAATTTCCTCTTATCTAAAATAGGACTTAGGGAACTCAAGAAAGAAAACACAGGTAGTGAAGTAGGTAACATGGAATCAAGTGTGTCTTCGCTTTTTTTCACACAATAAAGGACTTATATTCCGAGAGGCCTTTATGTGCTTTGCCCTGTATTGTCCCCCTTGTTACACACAGTGATGGCAGTGGAAAATAGCTAATAACTAACCTGGGAGGCACAACTGGCACCTGCCAGACGTGGAGGTCGTGGCTTTCCCGTTGACAGCTGGGTCAGTGAGTGGTCTGGCCTTTTGGTCTCCTAATCAGATCAGTAGTTTGGATTTAAGTTACCAGGTATCCATCTTATCACTGCGGGCTGCCTCCCTACTGCTAAGAGAGATGTTGAACTTTATGTTATATCCAAACATAATTTATTCCATAAAAGGAAAGCTTATAAAAAAGCTGTTAGTCCACCTATGTGTGCTTTTCTTTACTTTAATGCTATATAGAAAGCCATTTGTCATGCTTTTAGCCCTTTATCGAAAAAGTATTCATTCACATCCTAGTCTAATTTAATAGACACTTGTACCTTATGTTCCATAGTGCGCCTTTTTTTTTTGGTTGGATTATACCCTTCTGCCTGTTCATTATTTCTGCTGGAAGTGTTTCTCCTTGATTTCCTATGAAGTTTCAATGGCATGATACGTTTTCACTCACAGACTAACGTTACCTGAAGCCAGGCTTTGACTCTGGGTAGCCACTGCCCAGCAAAGCTTCCAGATTTCAGCAGTTAAATCTAATACCAAGAAATTAAATGTAGGGTGGCTCAGATCTATTAATATATCAGGGAACGTTACCTCCCCCCAAAAGACACTAATGCAAGCACAAGATGATCAAAAAGGCATTTCTTTGGTCAAATCCTTTTGGATGCCCAAAACTCACAATTTGTTGTTTTCTTTTCTCTTTCCATAGATGTAACTCCTTCATTGAAAATTCCTCTGCTCTCAAGAAGCCTCAGGCCAAACTGAAGAAAATGCACAATTTAGGACACAAAAATAACAACCCTCCCAAAGAGCCTCAACCTAAAAGGATGGAAGAGGTCTACAGGGCCTTGAAAAACGGACTTGAGTAAGAACACCAAACTAATAATGCACTGAAACCTTTTTCCTTTCAAAAATGCTGGAGGGGATGGAGGGGTCAGAGAAAAGCTAGTCGTATGGCATAATTTTAAAATGTCTATTTCTGTAGTAGATATATTTTATTCTTGCACCGTCATTGAGGAAGCCTTCAATGAGTCCCAAAGATGGGAAATATATTGGGTTTCCACATCATATCCATAACATTGAGGGGGACCTGAAAGAGTAATGTGTTTATATTCAATATAGGATAGGATTTCTCTTAAACAATGGTGGACAGGCGTATCCATTTTACAGATTGCTGAAGGATTCTGAAACCTTCCTGAGTAGATTATAGGGATTGTTTGCTCAAAATAAGACTTCCCTGGGGGCCAGCCCAGTGGCACAGCGGTTAAGTTTGCACGTTCTGCTTTGGCTGCCTGGTTCACTGGTTCAGATCCCGGGTGCGGACCTACGCATCGCTTGTCAAGCCATGCTGGGGCAGGCATCCCACATATAAAGTAGGGGAAGATGGGCATGGATGTTCACCCAGGGCCAGTCTTCCTCAGCAAAAAAAAGAGGATTGGCGGCAGATGTTAGCTCAGGGCTAATCGTCCTCAAAAAAAATAATAATAATAATAAAACTTTCCTGGTGTGTGGTGAGTCACCTACAGTTGGTATTGTAGTGAACTAGATAGAATTCTGTGAGCCCAGATGCGGGACTGCCTCCATCGTTGTCTTGCCCCTTCCCTCCCCATTGGTTTTCCTTCTCTGGACTTTCAGCCTCACAGGGCTTCTCCTTCTTGGCCATCTGGATAGTATCATGTGCAACTGCTAGAGTTTTCAAAATGTTGAGAGACTGGGAAAATACAGACCTTCTTCCCTGCCAGCTCTGCCCTCTACAGAGCAAGGTTCAGCTTCTGCATCCCCCTTCAGAAGGACAGGTCAGCAGCAGCGCCAGGTTCCACTTGACAGTCACAGAGTTCACGATTGTGTCTGATCTTCTCTTTGCAGTGAATATCTGGAGGTTCACCAGACAGAGCTGGACAAGTTGACAGCTCAGTTAAAAGATATGAAAAGAAACTCTCGCCTGGTAGGTACCATCCAGTCATTAGGATATTAACACAGTGTTCTTTTTTTTTTCTTGTTTTAGCTAAGTATCTTCTTTTACTGGAGGGGAATGGGGACGAGGAAGAACCTTTAAGAACTATCTACTTCCTGATGCGTATTTTAGAAGGAGGTTAAATTTCCACTTAATGCTTTATTCTTAATACTTTTCAATATTTTCCAAGCATGTTTTTGCAAATAAACTTTATAATCAGGAAAAAAACTTAAAAAGAGAAAAACTCCCTCTACCCCTCCATCCAGATAATATAGAGAAATGAAAAGTTGGAGTTTTCCTAGCATGTTATTAGTGCAGATTTTGGAACCCGGAACCTTTGCTTTATCTCCAGTTTTTAAAAATGTAATAGGTCAGTGATGTCAGGGAGGGAAAGAAGGCTAAGAGGTAACTGTTGGGAGAAGTTGGAGGGGTCCTTGGGGTCCTTGAGCCAGTTCAATTGCACATTGTATTTTTCAAGATGCTTGCAAATTTCCTCTATTCTAATGAATTTGGGAGGACTTGTCTGGTTGAAGAGGTGTTTCTAATGTATACAACTATTGTAAATTATTTTGTTCAGTTCTAATGAAATTATGCCTTAATGTTTCAAGGCATCAGAAAGCCCCCAAAAGCCTATATATACCCAGGAGGTACAGCTATACATTAACAGCTGTTATCTTTTTCTTTTTTTGGAGATGAGCTATAATGTATATTGTTGTCCTTTTGAAAGGCTTAGAGGTTAAAGGCTTTACAGAAGTAAAAGGTTTTATATTCTAATGACGTTGGGGCATAACTCACCCCCATCTGTGTGGCTTCTTTGTGGAACGGCCTTCAGAGCTTTTGAGTGCCCTTGACTGTCCTCAATGGCAAGAAACGGTCCTGCTTAGAGAACAATAATGAATCAGCGCAGGGGCTTCCGCCAGGACCTGTGTTCCATAAAAGCCCTCCTGATGGGGGATGTGGGGCAGAGTACGGATTCTACTGTGATATTGTGAGCACACAGGAAATGAACTTGCTTTAAAAACAATTTGTCAAAAGCATATCACCCCCCTCAAGGACTCTTCTTAAATACCAATTTTATGTGTTTAAACAGGAAAGCAAGTATTTTTTTTAACACATATATCACTGGTACATTTTATGTTAACATTTATTTTGAAAAAAATTAGAGGGAACATGCATTTCTGTGCCCCTCGATATGTAAGAGAGAAGAGCTCAAAGTGAGAACTTTAAAACTCCCAAGAAGCAGAGAGGACCGGGTCCAATTCTGGAGACACTGAGTATGAATAAATATTGACTCTTCAAAGGACTCTTACTGGTGTTTAAAATAACCCGGAGTTTTACTCTTTCAAAGCAAATGTCAAAAAATCCAGCCGAACTTTACGGGGTTGATCATTATTTCACTGACAATGCAGAAATGCAGATTAAAGCCCTTTATTAATATCAGCAACAATTTTGAGGAAGATATGTTTTAATCCAGATGCTCCTTTTTTTATTTTAGGGTGTGCTGTATGACCTAGACAAGGTAAGTTATCGCTCTGTGTCGGGGTGTTACTGAAAAATAAAACCCTCAATCCTTAAGGAGAAGCCAGTGATCTCTTAGGTATAATAAGATCCTAGAGAACTGATTTTTCTAATCCTGGAAAAATTCATACTCTTCTCTAATGATGGTGATGAGTTAAGAACTATGATCTACAAATCCGATAATATGTGTAAGGTCACTTCCATAAAAATGCCACCTGGTGGTAGGGTTTCTCGGTGTGCTGATAAATTGAAGAATTCCCAAGTGTTTCGAGGTCCTTACCTGTGTTCTAATATTAACTATCATATTTCATCAAATTGAAGACATCCTTGATTGGAAAACTCACCATTATTTTATGTGCCTCTAAGAAAAAAAAAATGTTTCCAATTAAACTCTGACACACTTCTTTTCACTTAAAATTTGTATTTTATACTTAATGACAAAACTCTTTCAGGCCTATTTTAATGTAGTTTTTTTTTTTAATTATAGATGATGCCGTCTCTTTCCATGCCTTTCTATATATAGAATACCTTAGTGCTGAATCATAGAATAATGTTTGCAAACATTTTAAAGGGTAATTAAATTTAATGCATATAGTAATACTTATAACTCAAAGAGATGACACATAAATAACTATGATTATCTTTGAGCATGCATAGGCAGTAGCAATTGTAAAATGCACCCCAATATCAGAGACACTAAAATGTGTGTGGGGTGGGGTTCATTTTTGAGCTGATAAAACATGTTATTATGAAGGAATGTAAGTGTACTCTGAGATGATATTGTCCTGCCAGAAATCCAGTGAATTCCATTTGATTGGCTTCCCTTGGTGTCAAACATAAGGATTCCAATAACTCAAGTTCATCTCTCACAGTATTTATTCAATATTTAAAAAAATACTTTCCAAATTGATAGTAGAGAATCTCTTAAATATCAACAAAGCTAGGAGGAAAGGGAGCTATTTAGCATTTTCTGGTACTTTTGAGCATGAGATACTAAAGATATCCTCGCAAGTCCACATTAATTAAATTGTAAATGGCTATACTGTTTCAAACTTCTTCTTTTAATTCCAGCAAATTAAAACGATTGAAAGATACATGAGGCGCCTGGAGTTCCACATTAGTAAGGTAATCGAGGTTCTGCTGTCTTTGTGTCTGTTTTTTGGTTCTCAGTTACTGATGATCCACTTTTGGCCTGAGCATAGCATAGTCCATGGGGAATTTCCTGTCTGCTTGACTCCTAAACTGATTAGCAATTAAGTCAGTAGAGATGGAGCAAAAGGAAGAGTGGGAAGCCAAATCATCCAGCACAGTTTTGACTCCACTTCAGTTCAACAAACGGTCATTCAGTTCTTCCTATGTTGTGTGCACAGTGCCTGGTAGAGGGCGAACATCTCACTGTAGTCTGGTTGGAAATAAGATTGAACCAAACTGACCCTACAAAAAACTTCATGCTTGCCTAACTTTACACTCTGGTCCCACATACAACCTGGTACCCCATAAACTTCTTCCCAAAGGCCTTTAAAGACAGCTGTCGTGTACCTCCCTAAATCTTTCTCAACCTCTCAGTTCCTTCTACTCCTTCCCGTGTGGCATGGTTTCCAGGTGCCTTTTCATCCTTTTTGTCTCCCTAGACATGCACCAGTTTGTCAGGGTCCCAGACATCCAGCCCTGAACTATATAAGTAGTTCACTGATGGTCCAACCAGCCTAGTGTGGAGTGGGACTATCACCCCCTCGTTCTGGACACTATCAGGAGATACTGGGGCAACTTGGAAAAAATTTCTCTTTGGGGGCAGCTAAATCACACCATTAGCAATTCCTGTTCCAGTCCATACTCATCAGCCTCTCTTCCAAGTGGAGAGACTGGAGGTTTTAGCAGATCTCTCTACTAGAAGTCAGAAGGTTCTAGTCCCAGCTCTGCCATGTACTCACTGGGCTATATCATCTATAGGGACCTTGGCTTTCCACTCTGTGAAATGGGGCCGAGGATGTGCACATAGTCATCGTAGATGCTCCTAAGGATCCTTCCAGTTTAAAATTCTATGGTGATTTATATGTATGTAAACCTGTGTATATGCTACTGTCTTTGTATGTTCCCACTTTGAAAGATATTTATTACCTGGACAAATCTAAAATTGCTCCTATTTCAGCTAAGCTCAATAAATAAAGCAATGACATCCATTAGAAGGTGTTAATGTGGCAGGCAAGCTTTGACAAATTACTCTGTTTAGTCTGAAAAACAGCAAGAAAACAAAATCAGTATTACGTAGGAGTGTATTTATCCATCTTATATCCATCATTGTTAGAGACAACAATCCTGGTGGTTATTAAAGGTTGGTTGTATTCTGTTTGCAGCACCTTATACCAGGATGTCTAACAAATTATATTTAATTGATGAATCAATAATGAGATTCAATTCATTCAATGATTTATTTGATGAGAGTCACTGTGATTATAGGTAAGACCAATGCTTGCCTATAGATGGGCCCGTTTCTGCTCAGATAAATACACAGTTATCTTTGGTCCTAAAGTTTAACTCCATCTCACTAGGAGGATAGGTTGATATTTAAATGAAAACAAAGAATAAGCTTTTCATTGAAGGCAAAGTAATAGACTAAGTCTTTTGGGTTATACCAGTCATCCAGCGAGCCATTTCCTTACTGAGAAGATTATAATCTCAGAGACTTTGGCATGCCCAGTAGTGGAGAAAAGGGTTGAAGTTAGTCTCCCAGGAGACCACATGGGTGAAACACCCTGGCCTGCACTGGAAGCAGTATCAGCTCTTGTGTTTCTAAAAGTTTTGTGGGGACCTCCCACATCAGAACAATCTGCACTGTTTATTTAAAATTTCAGGTTCCTGGCCCAGCCCAAACCCACTGAGTCAGCATCTCAGAGTGGGGCCTGGGCATCAGCATTTTAACCAACTCACCAGGTGAGTCTTAGCTTAGTTTTAGAGTCTGGAAACCATCCTCTATGCCAATCACCAACCAAAAGATTTTATGAGCAGTTCTACCGTTCTTTGAGTCTTACACCTCCCTCTCGATCAGAGACAAAACCATTGACCTCAAACACAAAAGACTTTTCTTTCCAGATCTGGCAATTCCTCACAGCAAAGTGGAGTGAATTGTTGAACTAAACAGCAACAAAGAGTCCTTTAACCAAAAGAATCACTTTCAGTCTCTCAGTGTTCATATTATAAGCTAAGTGTGGCTGACATCTTTATAAGGAAAGCAACTATGGAAAATTATCTTGCTCTAACAGGTAGTAGTAATGCCTTTTGGTGAGCAGCCAGAAGTTTGCCTTCAGAACAAAAGGGAGAATCTTCAGCTCTGAAATCCATTATGTTCATCTCCACCACCTTCTGGGTCTATAGCTTAAGCCTCCTTTTTGAGGGAACAAAGTTTGTCCTGAAATGAAAAATTCAAGTAGTCCTGGGTAGCTAATTGCCTCCTAGAAGTAATAGGTATCATTTGCGTCTGCTAATGTCTGGTGATGTGTCCTTTTTATCTGCCTTAGAATTCCTGTAGTCAACTGTGGTTAGTATGTTGATAATTGAAGACAGCACAAGACTACAGAGATAAACTATCATCAGGGGTAACTTTAGAATAGGTTTTCTCAGCCTAGGCACTATTGATATTTGGGGATAATTCTTTATTGTAGGGGGCTGTCCTCTCCTTTAAAGGATGTTTAGTGGCATCCCTGGCCTCTGTCTACTAGATGCCAGTAACATCTCCCAGCTATGACACTGAAAAATATCTCCAGATGTCCCCTGGGTGTCAAAATAGCCTTGGGTTGATTGAGAATCACCACCTTGGAAGCATTAAATGATTATCAGGCTTATATAATGAGTACGATCAATAAGTCATTTGCAGAGGGTATATTATTGTGTAGAGGTGTAGCTGAGAAAACATTCATTTCCAGTGCTTCTGTTTATTTCTTTAATCGTGGTCTAATTTACCTACGAAAATTTCACTGTTCTTAAGGGTTCGGTTTCAGTTTTGAGTATTGTGCTTCACTCTAATTTTAAGAATAACTTAATGACTTCATTTTCTCTTTATTGTTGAACCGAGACTTTACAAAAATCATTTTCAATATATAGCCTCAAGTTCTTCTTTTAAAACATTCTAAATCTGGAAGTGTGAATATCACCTTGTGACAATATCTCTTAAAATAAAGTGATAATAGCCTGGTATACTCCAAAGTTTTCACCTTGGTGTGAAACCGTATAAACTCTTTCAGTGTTCGTCCCGTATATAGAAGTCTCCTGGCTTCATGGTCCAGTACTTGTCTCCCGCCTTCCACCAAGGTTAAGTTCATTTTCATTTTGTGTAATTTGAAAAGAAGGCTCAGACCAAAATGTTTTGAAATAGAAAATGGATCATAGTGGCTAAAACAAATATGATTGCTCACCGTCTAAAAGGATGACACTTCTACAAGATTCTCCTTTTGGGGTCAGAATATAAAGTAAGCACTTAATAGTGGCCTATGTGACTTCTTTCAAGTGTGATCTATATTTACATCCCTTGTGTTCCTTCTTTCGATTCTGGCAGGTAGATGAACTCTATGAAGCTTATTGTATCCAAAGACGCCTCCAAGATGGGGCCAGCAAAATGAAGCAAGCCTTCGCAACTTCTCCCGCCAGCAAAGCTGCCCGAGAGAGTCTGTCAGAGATCAATCGGAGCTACAAAGAGTACACAGAGGTATGTGCTAACCTGCTCAGCTGCTGGACTCCAGCTGGCCTCATCTGAATTGTTGGTAACTGCCAAGAACAAGGGGGATGGCAACACGCAACGTCATTCCACTCTTCGGAGATATAGGATTTACTGTTTGCCTACCCTTGCGTTTGTTTTGAGGCTGTCAGCGGAATTGTTTAAAATGACTCTCGAGTGGTTTTGTTGGTTGTACTTTGGTTAGAGCTTTCATTGGACTCCAGAGTCTGTGTTATTCTTAGTCCCTGAGCGTCACCTCTAAGGCACTCATCTCTGGGTGCCTTGTAAAACCCCAAGATTTTAGACACTGTGAAGTCAATTCACTGCCTGAGTCTTATATTTCTTTCTGTGCTCCACAATGACTTTGTCGAAAATTTCAGTGGATGAATGAGTAAGCCACAATGCCTTGGTTTTTGTCGTTTAAATGTACTTCCAAACTCTCTAGTGTACACTCTAATCTAGCTTTATCCCTGGAAGTTGAACATGTTTTGGTTAGAATGGCTACCTTGGATGTTGGGTCTCACTAACCCTCCTGCCTACAATAATTTTATTGTACGAAATGTCCCTTCTATCTTAAAGGAGACAAGATAAAGAACCATGAACAGAAGTGTGCTTTCCTGGTCTCTGACTGTCTCCAGGGCCTAAGCATATGACACAGGGAGGTCTTTGCTCTTCCTGGGGTCACCTGATACCGATGTCTTTGATGAAATGACTGAATTATTAATGCAGCACTTCTCACTATCCCCTGAGTCTTGGTTCAGAGATCAAATTTCATGACTGAAGTCATCGGCCCCATGAGGGTCTGCTGGACAGTTCCCTGAGCTGAGCATCTGTCTCAGCCCCGGGACAGCAGGGGCCTCCTGGATGACTTGTGGCAGGATCACTTCACATGTACACTCCAGCATCGCCTCTTGTCTGAACCAAGTTTGTCTCTTTTCCTGGCCTAAAACAGGGCTTCCTTACCTAAGGTTCTCCTTCCAGAACAATGCTTTTTAAATGTATTTTTAAAAATACATAGGCATTCAAAGGAAACAAATTATATTAAAATACAGTTATTTTAATATTGTCAATACAGTTATCAAAATATTTTAAAAATCAAATATGTGATATAGGACTAGGCTGCTAGTTTATCAACACACCAAATTACAAGATCTAGCAATGGCTCTAATAACTTACTGAAATTTCAGGGTAGTGAAAAATAGAAGTGATTTTTCAAGGTATCTGCAACAAACGATGTGACGTGGACATCTCCATGATTTCTATCAGTGTCAAAGTCACAGGTGTTGTAATATGTTGCAGCTTGTTTTCTACATTCATGATTTATGTTATCATGTTAAATTTCAGTTAGAGGTTAGTGGAAATAACAGTGTGACTTTCTTTTTTCCCCCATCCAAGTGTATGGATCTGCAGTTGAGCATCTCTATTCTAGAAGCAGCCCTAGTTCATGGGACCTCATTTCTACATGTCTCTGAAATCCAAAGGACAGATGCCAATTACAGAGGCTGTTCAGAGCACACAAGCAGTTACCTGCACGGCAGCCTGTAGAAGCTGCCTGTCCTAGAACATTTACAGGTTGTTTCAGAAATACCCACCTTGGTCAAGTGCCAAGACATGGCATCAGACTTTGCTCACAAACTCAAAGAGGTGGAGTGCAATTTCAGCGAGAGGAAGGGCTGCCTTAGAGATGAAAGAAGTCCAGGACTTCTGTAGCCTCATACCTCACTTGACATGAGGTGCTTTTGTATCTTCACATAACCACAAAAGCCAGGATTTTATCACAAAGCATTTAGGGCAAGATGGCTCCGGATGCTTTTGTGGGTGCAGCAAAATTCATCCATGGCTGCGTGGGTCAGACGGAAGAAAGTTCTGACCATGGGTTCCTCAACCTTTAAACTAGCTGCCCCCCAAGTTTTTCAAAGACACTGGTAGCAATCCTGACATGCATGATAATATCATTGATATTTTTGGAAACTGTAATGAGTTCCTTCACAGAGGCGCCCAATGCTCTGAGGAAGAAAATTGATTTACAATACTGAGACCTTGTTTTCAAAGCTTTCAAGCTGCACAGAGATCTAACTTCAGGAAGATTTCCCCAGCTTTGCTAAGCTTTTTGAAGCACTAAGAGCTTACAAGGGGAGAAGCAATGCCATTCTCTTTGCACCCTATCAATGCACGAGTTCAGGAGAGTGATCTTTGGAGATCAAAGGAACAAATAAGATCAGAACCTCTAACCTTACAAATCAATCTTGAAGTCCTCAGCAAACAAAATTCAAACGGAAGCAGTCCCTGTCGCTGCTCCCTGAGCTGGCCCTGTGTTAGTAGGAGTGGCCACCCCAAGCCCCTAGCCTTGATGGAGGCTGACTACCCAGAGAGAAGCCTGCAGATGCGGCCTGGGGTGCTGGGATGAGGACTGCTGCTCAGTATAGCAGAGGTGGCGTCAACTGCATCCTGCACTCTTTTTGCCTCAAATTTTTGTTAAGAAAGGTTTCAAACAGAAAGGTCAAGACTAGTATAATGAACACCATATACCTTTGCCTAGATTTACCAGTTGGTAACATTTTGCCATATTTACTTTCCTTCTCTTGCATATGCTCAATTTTTTCTTTTTCTTTTTCTGTCTTTGCTGAGTCATTTGACAGTAAGTGGTAGACATCATGACATTCTGCCCCATGACTATTTTAGCACGGGTTCCTTCATGGTCCCCTATGTAAAACATGTATCCCCTGCATGACCACATACCATTATCACAACTAGGAAAATTAACAATCATCCTACAGAATTATCTAATATCTTGTGCATTTTCAAATTTCCCCTATTTGGCCCAGTAATGTCTTTGATCACTGTTTTATTTACTTTCAAATCAGGATGTAAGCAAAGTTAACACATTGCATTTGGTTGTTATGTCTCTTTACTCTAGATTTTTTTTCTAGATGTTTTTGTAGAATCCAGGCCAGTTCGTATAGAATATTCCAGATCCAGGATTCATCTGAGTGTTCACGATAGCTTGTTCTTCTGTGCTCTAAATTTCCCGTCCTCTAGAAGGCTTGCTTAGACTTAGGTTAAACCTTTGGTCAAGAAGGCTCCATCGGCCGCACTCTGTGACTCACTGCAAACAGGGAAATGCCTCTTGTTCAAGCACTGGTTGTCCGCAGCTACTAGAACATCCTGTGTTTTGAGCTGTGCTGTGACAGAAGCCTCGCTCTAACGCCCGTCTCCTGGACTTTTCACAGAATATGTGCACCATTGAAGCGGAGCTGGAGAGTCTCCTGGGGGAATTCTCCATCAAGATGAAAGGTATTCTTTTCCCTGTTCAGAGACACAAGGAGCCATCTCTGCACAGCTCCTTCAAGTTTGGGAGCACACACTGTTTTTATTTTCCTTGCAAAGACACTGTGCCTCCCATTCTCAACCCTGCCCACTTAGGTTAATTTATTGATGCTTCAGAACCTTCTGAGACTTGCCTATACACTTAAATATTTACTATGACAGAATCTCAAACATACCCAAAAGTGGAGAGAATATTACAATGAACCCCCATAAACCCATCACCTAGTTTTAATAATTAGCAAGATTTCACCATATTTGCCTCATCTGTTTTCTTTGTTTTTCCTTTAATGAAATAGAAGTCCTTTGATGAAATAAAGCCCAGACATGTGAGTCTACCCCTGCATATTTCAATATATATCTCTTAAAGAAAAGGCTATCTTGGGGCCGGCCCGGTGGTGCAGCGGTTAAGTTCGCATGTTCCGCTTCTCGGCGGCCCGGGGTTCGCCGGTTCGGATCCCAGGTGCGGACATGGCACTGCTTGGCACACCATGCTGTAGTAGCCCTCCCATGTATAAAGTAGAGGAAGATGGGCACGGATGTTAGCTCAGGGCCAGGCTTCCTCAGCAAAAAAGAGGAGGACTGGCAGTAGTTAGCTCAGAGCTAGTCTTCCTCAAAAAAAAAAAAATATAGGATATCTTACATAACCACAATGCCAAGCATTACTACATCTAATAAAATCGTAAGTGTTTGTTATTTGTCCATTCCATTATCAAATTGCATTATAATTGGTCATTAGGTATCTCTTTTAGGTTTCTTTTCATCTAAAACAGACATCTTCCTGTTTTTTTCCTACTATTGACTTGTCATAGAAACCACTGTCGTCTAGAATGTTCCACATTCTAGACTTGTCTGGTGGCTTCTTCCTGATGTTATTTAAATTGTTCCTTTCCCCTCCATGTTTCCTGCAAACTACCTGGCAAGTTTTTTTTTTTAGCGTTAAACCCTCAGAGGACTATGCATTTTCCTCTTTTTTCCCAGTGCCTTTCCGGTGTTTACTCGAGAAAGTTCCCATCTAGAAACATTATTGATTTATACCACAGCATTTTCAGAACAAAAAGAGACTCTAGTTTTAGAAAATGGAGCACCCCCCAGGTGTTGTCAAATTTATAGCAGGCAGGGCCATCCATAAGCAGCCATCACAGCAAGCCCATTTTTCTTCTGAGTTTTGGCCCAGGCGACAGCAGCAAGAGGCTGATATTTATGCATTTCTTTTTCTGAGGTTTCCTGGCACCTTGGTCCCTGGGTTGCTAATGGGGATTTAATCGCCCTCTTGTCTACTTTTTGCAATTATGGGAGTAAAGAAGGAGGACTTCTTCCCCGCCGCCCCCCAAAGTGCTCAGCAGGAGAGCTTTATTTTTGATGAGTCATCTAACTCAGGACGGAAATACTTCTGTCAAGTACTGTGTACAACATGTGAGAGTGGCTCCAAATGAGCACACCTGGAATAAAAATTACCTTGACCCCCGGCTCCCCAAATGGCTGCGTTCTCCTCTTCAGCAGATGGGACAGTGAATCAGTTTGTTATTCAGGCTTAAATCTCAACACTTATTTTACTACTGAGGTTGAGCATCTGTGCTTCTTCCGTTTTTTGGGTCCATTCTCTTCATTTTGGGTCCTCACTTGAGTCAGTGGTTCCAAAACCACTCAGGCCCTGCCCCCATCCCAGCAAGTCAGGGGATATTTTTAACTCTCAGGATGATTCTATCAGCAGCCTGATTCTGGAAAACCAACTGCTCTCAACTAGTGTTTAGCAGAAAACACTTCCCTCTCTCCCACACTCAGGCACCATCCACGCAGACTAGCACAGTTGTAGAGTCTCACAGCTAAGAGAAATTCAGATCACCAACATCTTCTCACTGTTAAACTGAGGAGTACCATTTTCCCCCTATTTCTGATGCTCACTATTATCAAGTGCATCAATTTTGGGTGGGGTGATAATTTCCCCATTTTATCAATGGAAATGGGGGTTAAGTGACTTGTTCCAGAAGTCACACAGTAAGTTGGACCTGAAACTGAATTCCAGAGCTCTTGGCTCCTAGAGTATTCCCACCCCGGGCCCCATATTAGGAGGAAAGTTCTAACAGAGTTGAGTAGACTGTTGCTCAAAGAATGGTCTCTTCTGTGGGAAAGTCTTCGTCAATCTAGCACACAGGCACCCTGGGAGTGGTGTGGGAAGAAAAGGACACCCTACCCAACAGATCTAGAGCTTTAGGCCTAGTGGTGAGAACATGATGCTGGAGGTCCTGGCCACCCTGTTAAATGATAGCACTGGGTTATAATGGGCTATCATGATGAAATGACAGACCTTCCTGTTGCTTCTCCTCTTGCGTCTCCACCTCTCCATATTTTCTCTTTCCTGCCTGGTCAGCTTCCTTGGCTTCTGTCCAGACTCAGGGTTTCTCCCAGAGGGTCTCTCAGGCCTGAAACTGCTTCTCCATTTTCATTATAGGTTTATCTCACCTCCGTTTTCCTAATCTAACACGAAAACTCAGAAACTACATCTGTGAAGCTGTTCAAGAACGCTCTCACAGAAATCTTCCTCTCCCTTGATAAAAGGAAGCTCCCTTATGCTGCCAAGAAATCTTATCGCTTTGCAATTAGCTGTTTCTTATCTGTTGTTCGCTGGTAAAAATAACCACCCCAACATACATATTGATAAAAACAGACTATTTCATGATATTCTCAGACCGGGTAACCCAACTTCCTCCTGCCACACCCTTCCACACTTCCCTTTTTGCCCCACCCCCAACACGTAGACAACAACCGTTTTTTGGTGGGGGAGCTGCCAGGGAGGTATATTGATAAAGACAATTGATCAAGCACTTACGAGCTCCTGCTGTTGGCCAAGCACTAGGCTGCATCCTGATGAACAGTCTCTGGCCTTGAGTTCCACACAGTCGACTGGAGAGAATGGATGAATGAGCCAGTGCATTATAATTCAATGGAATCAATGACCTACTGGACCAACAGTGTGACCAGATTGCTTCAGAAGCCTGGGGGGAGGCAGGAGGAGTGTGTCACTCACCTGTGTATGGAGGGGAGCAGGGAGGAGGAAGGCTCCCTGAAGTAAGCTTTGAATTAGAATGAGAGGGACTGTTCTGGGCAGACGAACAGCACTCGAATAGCATTCACCAGAGAGGGCATGTTCGAAAATGACAGATGGTCTGGTGGGGCTGAAGTGTCCGTTGGGAGAGGAGTGTGGAGAATTAGCTGGGGCCAGATTTTGAGGAGCCTCAAATGCCAGGCTAAGGAGGGAGCGCAAGACCTATGAGTGACAACCAGGATGGAGGTTAAAGGATGCGATCTCTTAGGGAAACTGGTTCGTCTCCCAATTATGTCTTAATTCAGAGTAAGTTCCAAGCACTGTGGGGATCCAAAAGTCTGTGCTGGTGCCTGCAGCCTTCAGGGCAGGGCAGCCCTCTGGAGAGGGAAGAACTACCAGTGAGCTACTAAATCTGCACTGTTTATGCCTGGTCCATGCATCAGCCAGGCCTGTAATGGGAGCTCCTGGCTGGTCGGCTGCTAGGCTGCGTAGGCTGCTTTCCTTGGAGTAGAAACTGTGACCCTTCGAAAGGAAGATCATCTTGGAACTAGAAAAAGTGGGGAGCGTTATTCTGGTAGAATGGCCCCTGAGCAAAGGAAGAAAAGAGTGGGCGGCTGCATACTGTAGCATCTGGGCCTTGCAGACAGGCTTGGAAGAGCTGTTTTATCAGTAGTTATGTGTTTACTGTTAAAATGTCCAAAAGGTACCAGGAGAAGCACCATAGAAATCGAAGTCCCTGACGCCCACCACCTCCCCTCACCCGTCCCCAGGATGGTTTTTTTAAGTGGCCATAATGAAAGCTTTCTAGACAGTGCAACAGTAATCACTAAACTGCTGAGGAAACATTAAGGTTCCCCCAACTGTGAAACTGGTCTGCAGACCAGAGGCTGAAAGAAACCTGGCCGGGTTTAAAAGAGATTAGGCTGGAACTCTAATTGCCCCACTGTTAGTTTCAGTTCTGCGACCAGTACCATGAGTAGCTTACCCAAGCAGATAGAGCTTTAAGAAGCATTGCACCAGGCCTGTTTTTGCCTGCCTGTTGCCATTTGCTATATTATTTTTATAATCAGGGTATCACAGTGACGCCACTGCAAGCAATTCCAAGGAATTTTGCTTTAATCACATGGGTTGAGAAGCTCAGAAACATCACTACCAAGTGCCTTTCTCCCACTAAGATATGTTCTTCAGATACAAAATTAGTGATGATTTTGAAAGGAAAAAAAGCTTCAAAGGATTTTTCCCTTTACTCTCCTTTATCTGGCCCCAAATCCAGAACAGTTTGATTTTTACCAGCCTTTCATTGTAATTGCACAGGTAAACAGGCGATGGATGAATCCTGAACTAATTTGCAGAGGTTTTAAAGAGTACTTTCAATTTTATTAGAATTGTCATGTCTAGCCAATTGTGATTTATAAAAACCAGTCAATTGTGCTTTCTTTCAGAAGTATTAAAAAAAAAAGACTAAATCCTCCAGAACGTTATTAGTGCAAATTGGCTTCTTTAATTCCGCTCTTATTTCAGTAAATCTTTTTAAGTGGCTTGTTATGTTCTAATTGTTAGTGAAAACTGGTCCTAAATGGACAGGCTCCGTGGGTGGGGGAGGCGTGACTTACTGGTGAGTTGCTGCCATCTACTGACAGACAGTGGTAACAGCAGGTGCTTTTTTAAGCATCCCCGGACCTCCTCTATCATCTTAACCCCCGGAAACGTGCATCGGACAGGTGGAGAGCGGAATCATTTGTTCAACAGTCTCACAACGTAATAGGGCTACTCAGAGAAGGCAAAACGCATTGTATGGTACCATCTCCATTATCCATGAGTAAAATATAAACTAATAGAAAACTAATAGAAAAATAACTAAGAGCTCAAAGGTTGTAAATGGCACCTTGAGGAGGCTGAGCAACCAAGGAGTCAGTTTGTCATATGGATGTTTGTGTACGTGAAGTAATCTAAAAACCACAGGGCTGTTTCTATACAGCTAATCAAAATTATTTCCTCTCAGGTAACCTGTGTGAAAGAGACAGATTGTTCTTCTCGAATCTTTGTTTTAACTTTTTAAAGTGGTACCTTCTCATTTTTTTAAATATTGGGAAATGGGTTTTTTTTTTTTTTAGGAAGATTAGCCCTGAGCTAACATCTGCCGCCAATCCTCCTCTTTTTTGCTGAGGAAGACTGGCCCTGAGCTAACATCCATGCCCATCTTCCTCTACTTTTTTTATATGTGAGACGCCTACCACAGCATGGCTTGCCAAGTGCTGCCAGGCCCACACCCAGATCCGAACCAGTGAACCCTGGGCCACCAAAGTGGAATGTGCACACTTAACTGCTGCACCACCAAGCCGGCCCTGTACTGAATTCTTAACTGGAAATTTTTATCATAAAATTGTATTGGTTCTTTTCACCAGAAAATGAAAAAGTGCTAAAAGTTTTTGCCCATTCTTATTAAATTTGTTTCATTCTTGATTAAAACTTTGCCTTCTAGTCCCTATTAGGGTGGAGGACTTTGCTTTGTGACTGGCATGGAAACAGGGATTAAAGCCGGAAACAACTGATTAAAGTAGAGCCAGGATTACTGATAAACCTCTAAGTTAACCAGCTTAGTCCCCTGTATTCACTGTGCCTGTATGACTTGCATGCCCTCCTCCCCACAGCTTTATTCATGCTTGACGCACAGTAGGCATTCAGGAAATATTGTTGAATGAATACATGTCACTCACTCTGCCTGAAAGTTGTCTTCTCCCCCATGCCCTCCTTTTACTGAAGTCAAATTCTACTATTCAAATGCTACCTGCTTCTGTGAAATTATGCTACGTTAAATGAGATAGAGTCTTTGTTTTAATTATGTAAGTAACACGTTCTTATAAAATGTCAAAATACAGATAAAAGCAAAGATCTCTTACTGTCTCTCCATTGCTATTCTCTTTCATGTGTGTCAATCTGCTGTATCTTTTCACATAGATTACAGCTTGTAAATGACCCCTATGTGGCAAGTGCTCAATAAATAGTATCATTGCTCTCCTGGATATATAATCATTACCACTTATTAAGCACCCACTGTATGCCAGATTACAAACAATTCTGTGAGGTAGACATTGTTATCCCTATTTTAAAGGTGAAGAACTGGAGTTAAGTAAATCATGTAGAGGAGGCTAGCTGGTATATAAAACAGAAATCAAGCTCAGGTTTAGTTCCATCTTACTGCCTTCAGGTCCTGGTCTGTTTCATTCCTGTGGGCTTTACCCCTTCTTGGTTCTGTATTATAGATATCTGTGAAGTCTGCCTTAATTTCCAGATTGTTACCTCAAAGCATAGATCCACACCCACAGAGACCTCTCAATAAATATGTAAAGAAAGAAAGAAAAAGATTGATCAAATCAGGGTTCGAGACGTCCCAAGACAGTGGCCATCTAGTCTGACAAGATTTGGTTTTGCTGCTGCACCAGATGTCATACTGGAACTCAAAATGAGCAGGTCCAGTTACAAAGGACCTCCCAGATGGCACAGTAGCACAGAAGCCCCATCTTCATTTTGGGGATATGGGTTGTTATTTGATTATTTGGTTTCATTTTGTTTTCTTAATCCCTAGTTTTGTGTAGATGAGAATCCATCTTCAGTGATTTCATAACGCAGTAGATGGTAGTATCATGCTGGATAAAAAGGATAAGAAAAATGGGAATAGTGAACCGGGGAGAGGCAAGGGGAATAAGGACATGAACTCTTAACCAAATGGGAGCCACTCATCAGAAATCACAAATCTTGGGACAGAAAGAAAAACAAGAGAGTACTTTATTTTCGTGGGAATGTGTTGGGTAAATAAATGAATATATCTTTCTGGCCCTAATTCCCTGATCCTGGAATCTGCTTGGGCCTTAAATTGGCCAAAGGTACATTGAGCTCTGACCCCCACTGAACAGCCTTCTCTGCCCCAGAAAGCATCTCTTTTACCACCCCAGCAAGGAATGTCCTCTCTAGCAGCCATAGATGGAATTCCCAATAGCTGTTCCCACAAGTGGTCCCCCCAAATTACTGCATGAGTTTTCACAAAAGTCTGACACTTTACTTGAATTTTATTAATGTGCCATTATGGGTTTGTAAAGGGGCGAAATATATTCTGACCTCATATCCCAATTTCGTGCTTACAGGTCTGGCTGGCTTTGCTCGCCTCTGTCCTGGAGATCAGTATGAAGTAAGTACTTTGTTGGTGTGGGTGTTGGCATTGAGGACTTGATGGGGAGGTGTCAGTTGTCAATATTTTGCTTTTTTTTTTAAGATCGACACCTGAGCTACCATCTTTTGCCAGTCTTCTTTTCTTCTTCTCCCTAAAGCCACCCAGTACATAGTTGTATATTCTAGTCGTGGGTCCTTCTGGTTCTGCTATGTGGGACACCCCCTCAACATGGCTTGATGAGCGGTCCTAGGTCTGTGCCCAGGATCCAAATCAGTGAAACCCTGGGCCGCCCAAGCAGAGTGCACAAACTTAACTACTCATCCACAGGGCCCACACCAATATTTTGCTTCTCAAATTGTCTTTTTTTTTTTCACATTTTTTTACTTTGAAAAAAGTGTAATCCAATAAGAAAGTTTGGAGACTGGTACAAACCTCTTATATACCCTTCATCTAGACTCACCAAAATTCAACATTGGGCTACATTTGCTTTATTGTTATTATTGCTATCATTGATTTTATTTTGCTGAGCCATTTTAGAGTAACATGCAAACGTCATGACCCTTCACTCCTAGATGCTTCTCCTGAGAATGGAAGGACATTCTCTCACATAAGCATCATACAATTCTCAACACAGCAAATTTAACATTGGCAATTTAGCTAATGTCATTTGATATATGATCTATATTCTTATTTTGCTAAGTGTCCCAATATTGTACTTTATAGCAGTTTTTTTTTCCTGATCCAAAATCCAGTTCAGGATTATGGATACTTGTAAGTATCATGATTCAAGAATAATAGCGTCTAGATCTTTCTTTATAAAAATATACTCTATAAAGTAAAAATGCTTTTCATCTTTTCCTTCTTCAAAAGGGAACTTACATAATTTTTTGTGTGTAACCCTCTCCTCCAAAACCTTCTATAATGGTCTTCTTAGGGGGAGCGTCTTCTCCTAAACAGGAAAGCTGTCTGGCCCAGAGGAGACTGCACACTCTCTCCCCAGAGTGTCAGATTTCAAAATCTTTGTCCAGCTCCGTCTCCCTCATCCAGAAGGAGGATGTCTTATTTCTTGCTCCGACCACTAAGTAGGTTTTAGCTGGTTCTCTATTCTCTCTAAAGGAGCTGGGGAGTGTGGAGAGTTAATCCAATGGCTGCTCTGTTGAAGCAGAACTAACAAGAGAAAGAAATGCTTGACCTGAGTGAGCAGAGGGGCGGGGAGAGACGGCCTTTTGCTAGAGAAAGCCCTCCATGCCCTCGGTCTTAGAGAAGCAGAACTTACTCCCTTTTGAAAGTCTCTTCCCCATTCATCATCTGCTCCACCCCCAGAGCCCGGGCAATCTGGAAGAATGGATGCTAAGCAGGTGGAGTGAGGATGCTGCAGCGGGGAAGAGGAGCAGCTGCTTTATTGACGGGCCCTTTAGATCCTGGTGTTTGGGGAAGGAAGACAGGTGAGGGCAGTGGAACATGAGGGCTGTTTGGTGTCTTCTCCCTAGATTTTCATGAAGTATGGCCGACAGAGGTGGAAACTGAAAGGCAAAATAGAAGTAAACGGCAAACAGAGCTGGGATGGAGAGGAGGTGGTGTTCCTGCCCCTGATCGTTGGATTCATTTCCATCAAGGTACTGTATTGTCACGGCTGTTTGCTGCCATTTCTGGTGCCACGACTGTGTGACCCATTGCTGGGGACCTTTGCCCATCACTTCCAGCTGCTGCCCCTCCATCCCACGGACTTCTCTCTGCACCGCAAGTGCATTGCAAAGACGGCTGCTCTCATATGAGGGCGGGCGAAGGAAATGTGAGATGGGCTCTGATTTCAGATATGATTCTGAAAGAAACGACGGAACTGGCTAAGTCAAAAAAGGAAAAGAGTCCCCCAGCTTTTTCCTCTGCTGTCCTGTAAGACCTTCTCCCTCACTCTCTTACTAGGTCACGGAGCTCAAAGGGCTAGCAACTCACCTCCTGGTCGGCAGTGTGACCTGCGAGACCAAAGAGCTGTTTGCAGCCCGACCTCAGGTGGTGGCTGTTGACATCAATGACCTTGGCACCATCAAACTGAACCTGGAAATCACCTGGTAGTAAGTTGCCTTTTTTTCAATTTCATCGTGTAGAAATACGTGCTATGGACTGATGCTGTTCAAAGGGTGGTGCGTGGACCATCAGAACCACCAGGAAGTTGTTACGGAAGCAGACTCTCGGGCCCCGCCCCAGGCTTATTGTGTCAGAATCTCTTAGGGCCCCAGAATCTGCTTAACAAGCTCACCAGGTGATGTTCATACATGCCAACATTGGAGAAGTCTCTCTTAGCACTACTCTTCTACTTCCTGCTTTAAAATATTTTATTCTCCCTCCTTCTCTACCTGTAAGCACATTTAAAGAATTATGTCTCTCAAGTAAACTAATGTGAAAGAGAGTAACTGTCCAATATGAGATATTTTGCCTTCAGAAAGAACCTGATGCTTGCTATGGTGTCCTAATTGCTTATCCCTCTATCTCATATACCTTACAGAGCTCTGGAAATTCTGGAACATCCTTAGTGCCTCCATACTCTATTTACTGAAATAGAATTTTTCCAAAGGGCCAGAGATACCTTTGGTCAAAGCAATGAACTTAAAAGTAGTTTTCTGAAGTCACCCTGTGAGAAAGGCCATGATAAGTTATTAAACACTGGTTGCTCACGACATTTCATATGATGCCCCAGGTGCATTACCGAGTAAATGAGACACATTGAGTATTACTGTTCAGGGTCTCCTTGACAATCTAGAGGGTCAGGGGTGGAAGCAGCAAGGACCCTGTTGCCTTGTCACTGAAACAGTGTTGGCACCTTCCGCCCACCCCTTCCCTCCTCATAGTTTGTAGTCACTGACATCTCAAAGGCAGGATCATTCCTCTTGCTAGATGAACCGGATGGCATGGTGATAAGTGGTGTCATTGTGAACAGACTGTTACTCTCCTCTCAATCATGCAAGAGGCTCCACGTCAGCTGAAATGAATGGGATTCTATTTTTGAGTGTTTTCTTTAGAACTGAACAATAATCTATTACTCTCCTGTATTGTTAAGTGTCTGCAAAGCTCAAAGAATTTTTAGACTTCCCTAACATCTTGTGTTGGGGCAGGAATTAATGTGTTTATGTTTCTCATATTAACGAGGAAACAGATTTATCTAGTATCTAGGTGTATAGATAAATTGTGCTTAAAGCTGTGATAAACTGTAGTCACTTGGGTGGGTCTAGGCTCGGTTTCTACTCTACTTTCTTTAGTCTTGGTTTATTTTCTGACAAACCAATTTGGCCAAAACTAGCCCAGTGCCCACTGGTTTGAATTTACTTTAGCATAATGAGGTGCTTTCTTGGCCTGCAATCTCGTGATGATATGTAGGTGACTTTAACAAGGTGCATTCATGGGGCCTTGTTGTTTTACAGTCCATTTGACGTGGAGGACGTGACCCCATCCTCAGGCGCAGGGAACAAGGCGGCAGCCCTCCAGAGGAGAATGTCCATGTACAGCCAGGGCACCCCAGAAACGCCCACCTTCAAGGATCACTCCTTCTTTGTAAGTTCAGTGTGGTTTTTAGAGATGGTGAGCCTGAGGCTCTGCCTATAGCCTGTATTTGAAATGCTTACCATACGGTGTTAGGGATTCTCAATAATTCCTAATAATGTTATTCTTAATGTTCACCCTAATTGCGTAGTGACTTAGGAAAGCACGTTCTACGATGCTTTTGGCCATATGTACACAGGTGGTAAACCTCCTCTGTCCTTCCTCTCCCCTCACCAGTTTACCTGTTGCTTTGGTATAACGTAGATTGTTCTGAACATTCTCTACGATCAGCCTTTTAAAGAAGTAGATGTAAATAAATAATGGCCCCCTTGTTTTAATCAGAAATGCTTGCCAAAAAGCTAACAAAACATGGTAACCTGTTGCCTTCCACTAACTCCCCGTGTTGCTTTGACTTCTGAAGAGATGGTTGCACCCTTCACCAGACAAGCCAAGGCGGCTGTCTGTCTTGAGTGCCTTGCAAGACACTCTCTTTGCCAAGCTGCACCGCAGCCGCTCTTTCAGTGACCTGCCCTCCCTCAGGCTGAGACCCAAGGCCGTGCTAGAGTTTTATGTGAGTGTGGGTGGCCTGTCTGGGTGTGAAGTGCTTGACTTTGGGGCTTGGGGCATGTGTGCTTTGGCATGGCTCTTGTTTATCTTCTCTGTCGTGCTCATTGGGTAAGGGTTGAGGCCATCCTGTCCCCAGGATGGGAAACTTGGTCATGCATGCACCGTGGTTAAAGAGTCGGTTTGTCCTTCTCTTCTAACCATCCCTGCTTTTGTGCTGTGATTTTTCTCCGCTGTGGCAAAGATATCCACGGTAACAAGATTTTCATTTTTAAAAAATGCAATTACACTGAGGGTCAAGGAAGATTTTCTTTCACAAGTTAAACTAGTTTATCACTGATATCAGTCTTTATGCAATTTTAGCGTTGAAAAACTGGCATTCGAGAAACTCAGCAGGATTTAAACCAATTTTACTGGAGCTATTTAAAGTGTTTATTAGTTTATTGTAATGTTTGTTAATTTTGTACTAACGTAGTAAAAGAAACTCTTTATTCGCAATCAGGAATGCAATAGGTAACCCACATTATATGCGTTACACATTATGTCATAAACACATTATGTCATAAGAGAAGACACACACACATGCACATACATGGAATATTCTGCTCTTTACAGACATATAAAAGTAATCTTTGAATGTCCAGAGAGGAAGGAATTAAAAGTTTTCTGGTTTAATGTATAATAATTGACTCATATTCATTGAAATTAAAAACACAGGTGAAAAGGATGAAGCTAAACCCTAGTGGAGTTTCCAAGGAAAATGGGAAGACTAGATGGGGGGAAATCAGCATGAAAACATGTACCAAAAAATGATAGTTGTATACGTAGCTCTCAGTGGAGTGTATATATTCGTGCTCATATACTACAAGTTGGAGGGTTATGGAGGGAGTTGATAGAGGTTTTAATAGCATAGTTTAAACAAGAGCAAGATTAGAAAGAACTTGATGGCTTCCTATTATCTTTTGGATAAATGCAAAGGTCCTCAGAGGGCCATTCCCATGCGGCCACAGCCCAGTTTCCAGGCCCCCGATCACCTCTCCACTTTTCATCCTCTGCTCGAGCTCCCCTGAGCTCCCCGCTGTCCTCCAACTGCACCACACCCTTTCAGGATCTCCCATCTTTGCACACACACTGTTCCTTCTAGAATGTGCTTCCTCCTCCTCCTCCTCTCCTATGCCTCCCCATCCAAGTCCGGGACCATCTCTTTCCCAGGCAGCAGCCATCCCCTGGCTAGGGTCCCTACCTCCTTATATCGTACCTCAGTTATAACAACACTCCCTTGCACGGTGTGTGCCTGTTTATAGGTTCGTCCCCTGGGAGACTGTAAGTCCCCTTGCGCAGGGCGCCTCAACTTCTTCTGACTCACTATTTGCCACTTAAGTAGGTGCAAATTGGGTTTGGGAATGTGAGACCCAAGAGAAAATGCCGGGGAGGACTTTGGAATTTTAATAAGAATCTTGACTACTGGGTCCCCCAGGCATCGCTAGTGCCCCCCACCTCCCTCAGAGCTGCCACGAGATGTGTGTCCTGAAGATGAGACGAGGCTGGGCAGGACCACTTGGAGGACCCAAGGGTTCTGTGAGATGCAGGAGGGACCCCTACAGAGGAAGTCCAGAGAGTAGGACTTCTTCCCCCCTCCCTTCCCAAAACTTCCCCCTTTTATCTCTCCTAGAGGCATAAAGTGTGTGTGTGTGTGTGTATTGGAGGGGGATTTGTGCAAATAGAGGGGGAGAAACAAGCTGGAGGTGCAGAAGAGCGCTGAGACCCGCCCTCTCCTTGCAGTCCAGAGGAGGTTCCCTGTTCCATGCCTCACCCCCCCCCCCCCCCCCCCGCCCAGCCCCAGGACTCAAAGGATCGCAGCTCAATGCTAATAGAGGAAAACATTCTCAGTTTTAGAGGCAAAGAAACTGAACCTGTAGAGGTTACTTGAGCTCCCCAGTAACACATCCTCTTACTCATCCTGTGGTTCAAGTTAACCACCTTACATCCAGACGAGGATGGAGAGTTTGGATTGGGACCTCGTGGCCCCGGATCCAGCAGTGATGGAACCAGGCACACTGCTGAAGGAGGATCACGAGCCTCAGTCTTTCTGTCTGCTCCCCATTTCACCAGCTGTAACATTTTTGTTTCCTGGGCTTATTCCCAGGACTATTGTAATAATTCGTTGCTTTATACATAATTAAAATAGGGATTGGCTTGGTCCTTACCATTTACTTAAAAGAATTAGATCTGGAATCCAACAGAAATTATCCATTTTGAAGGAGTTGATCTCAAATAACTAGAAAACCGTTTCCACAGAGCAACATTTGTTACTTTGACACTGTACACAGACCACAGTGTAAGGAAAGATGACTTAGAAATTGTTGAATGCCTGAAAAAACGAAGTATCTTGGTTACCTGGATATTTCTGACCTCTCTCTTCCAAGTTCTGCTTCATGAATCACAGAGTGTACCTGACCCAGCCTGTGGCGGCCTGACAGAGGACCCGGTGTTTCCAGACAGGCTAAGAACTCTGGGCTTTGCACTTCTGGAAGAGAGATGTTCAGTTTATTCATCTTTTTTTCTTATTTTTCTAGAAGCTATGCAAATGTATTTCTGGCCTTGAATTATTTGTGGCATGGTTATTGAATTAATAAAACATTTCCAAGGGCTTGGGATTTGTGGGTAGAGATTTTTAAAAATTTATGAGAACCGAAGCAGAAGAAAGCATCACATCTTTTGAGTAAAATAGCATGAATCTTGGAAACTCTTTTAAGATAGAAGCCCCCCCCCCAAAAAAAAAATTGGTACTGTGATACGTAACTGTGGCTGCCAAGTATTATGAGGTCCTGGGATTAAGGAAATAAGCACCATCCCCCCCAACCTCCTTTTGAGAAATGTGAAACCTGAGAATAGTCCAATGAACTTTCACCCAGATTCAAGAATGGAAATAGAGTTTTTAAGGGCTTGTTTTCTTTTGCTGGACACACACACACACAGAGTATCACAAAGAAAATGCTAATATTATGAAAGTTCTGGTTTTTTATTTTAATTGCCTTATATTTTGTCTGGAAATAACCATAACAAATGCATCATTGGTATTTAAAATAATCGTGAGATGCCTTTTATCCACAGTCTAATCTACCTGATGACATCTTTGAAAATGGAAAGGCGGCTGAGGAGAAAATGCCACTCTCTCTCAGCTTCAGCGACCTGCCCAATGGGGACTGTGCCCTCACCCCCAACCCTGCTGGCTGTCTCTCCAACGCCTACTTGGGAAATCCAGAAATTACCATCACCCCTGCCAAGCTGAACCACAGCAGCCTGTCCTCCCAGAATGAGGGAATGGATGACACCAGCTCAGCATCTTCTACAAGCTCCTCAAGAGAAGGCCAAGAGACAAAGCCACACCTGGAGGAAGATGCAGAGGGGCCCAGAAAACCCGAGGCCTGCCGAGCGTCTGCAGGTGCTGGGAGGCTGTTCCTTGAGAAGGATGTCACAGAGGCACTTCTGCAAGAGTCCGATGAGGCCTCTGAACTCAAGCCTGTGGAACTGGACACTTTTGAAGGCAACATCACGAAGCAACTGGTCAAGAGGCTCACCTCGGCAGAGGTGCCGGCAGCCACGGAGAGGCTGCCCTTTGAGGGCTCTGTCAGTGGCGAATCCGAAGGCTGTAGATCCTTTCTAGATGGAAGCTTAGAGGATGCCTTTAATGGGCTGTTCCTTGCATTAGAACCACATAAAGAGCAGTATAAAGAGTTTCAGGATCTGAACCAAGAAGTCATGCATTTGGATGATATTCTAAAAGTAAGTACCTTTCCAGGGAAATTGCATTAGGAAACTGCCTTAAGACGTGTCTTACATCAACATTCTATTTAAGATAGCATATCCATATCTTTTTTATCTTTTTTAAAAATATCTTTTTTAAAAAATCCTGTCCCATCACAGGATCCATAGGTAATCATAATTTAAATGGCATTGATTTTTAATGCCAGTAGCACATATTCATTTTTATTTTCCTGACAACAGATAGACTTCACTAAAATGATTAGGAGTTAAATTAACAGCTCTAAAGACTGTCTAAACTAGGGGTCAGCCCCATGGCATAGTGGTTAAGTCTGGTATGCTCTGCTTTGGCAGCCCAGGTTCATGGGTTCAAATCCTGGGCACAGACCTACACCACTCATCAAGCCATGCTGTGGCAGCAACCCACATACAAAATAGAGGAAGATTGGCATGGATGTTAGCTAAGGGCTGATCTCCTCAAGCAAAAAAAGAGGAAGATTGGTGGTAGATGTTAGCTCAGAGGGAATCTTCCTCACAGAAAAAAAGAATGTCTACACTCCTCCAGGCCCAGAGGTAATCATTCTAATCCCAAATGTGAAATGGCATTTTGATCATCATCATCTCATTGAGATGTTCCTGGATAGGGTGCCTCTCGGGGTACCAGGAAAGCAGAAGACCCCTTCTCTGATTGAAGTCAGAGTTAGCCAGCCCCAGTGTGAGAGCCACGAGCATCTCTTCCCCCAAGAGCACTGTGTTCTGGAAGATTCCCTTCTCTGGACGTGGCCCAAATCAGTGAGCCAGAACCTCAGATTAATCATCCACTAATAGTCACCAGTCACACACCAGAAGCCAGGGAACCACTGGCTCCACCTGAGATAGCCTCCTCAACCCTTTTCCAGATCAGACAGCTCAGGGTAGACATGGGAGGGTAGGAGTGAGAGGGACAATTTCCTCCCGGGTGATTTCCTAATAATGAGATCGTTATTGCCACAGCAGAGTGTATCTGTCTCCACTTGGCATACCAATTAAATTTTTAAAAACGCTGCACAAGGAGACAGAACTTGAATTCTGTCCCGAATCCCACTGCCAATTCTTGAATTCTTTGCTTGGTCACTCTAATTTATATTGTCCTGTAGAAGAGAACTTGCATCCTTTCTCTTGAAAGAGCAATTCTTTGGGGACCTGTTCTCTAAAACAATGTTGAAAATAAGGTGCCAGTAGCAAGCTGAGAATCAACCCACAGAAGGCTGTTGAATCCATTTGCATGACTGTTTTAAAACGTGGCCTTCCCAGTGGCATCTGGAACTGTATTTCCAAGCCTTTTCTGACCATCTTAGCCCTCTCGGTCACACTGACCTAGCTCTGGAAGGGATTTGTGCCCAGGGTGGATGATAATTCATGCTCTGACTTTCCAGGTCCTCTAATGCTCATGACAGATTAATTCCGCTGTAGGCATAGCCTCTGAGAAACAGGGAGGGGCTCTCTGAGTCTGCTTTCTGTAAAACATAACCCAAAGCATCGGCTCAGGGCTCAGGCATGGAGGCTGCTTGTCTAGGATTCCAGTGAGAACATCTTTTATCCCCTCTACAATCTTTTGTTTGTGCAGTTGACCAGCTTTGCTTAGTGGTCAAAAGGTTTTAAGACACAATTGACCCCACCTAAAGTAAAAGCCTTAAAGAAAGCCAGTGGTGGGGCTGGCCCCATGGCCAAGTGGTTAAGTTCGTGAGGTCCACTTCAGTGGCCTAGAGTTCATTGGTTCAGATCCCGGATGTGGACCTACACACCGCTCATCAAGCCATGCTGTGGCAGCATCCCACATGGAAGAACTAGAATGACCTACAAGTAAAATATACAACTATGTACTGGAGCTTTGGGAAGAAGAGTCAAAAAAGAAAGCCAGTGGTGATGGCAGCTCCCATTTCCAGGCTTCTAGGGTGCCAATAAGTAGCTCAGTCCACCAGGAGACACCGAACAAGTCATCTGTTAGTCTTATAAAAACCTGGTGGTCACAGATTTCTTTCCAAAGTGTTATTTCAATGTGCTGTGGTTCCAAAATGGTCCTGCTACTAAAATCCTTAACTCCTCCTTTCTTTGTTATGATCAATATTTAAATACAGGGGCCAGCCCTGTGGCACAGCAGTTAAGTTCACGCTCTGCTTCAGCGGCCTGGGGTTTGCCGGTTCATCTCCCAAGCATGGACCTACACACCACTTAATCAAGCCATGCTGTGGCAGGTGTCCCACATATAAAATAGAGGAAGACGAGCACGGATGTTAGCACAGGGCCAGTCTTCCTCAGCAAAAAGAGGAGGATTGGCAGCAGATGTTAGCTCAGGGCTAATGTTCCTCTAAAAAAAAAAAATTTTAAGTACATCCATACTGTGAAAGATCAAGTTCTGTGGATAGTTAGCTTAGGAGAGAAGACCTTAGAAGTGGGTTGAGTCTGGACTGGCTTCTTCTTGCTCTGAGATGGAAAACAGCTTTGAAGTTTAGGTCTGGGGCAAGTGGCTTTGTATCCAGCCAGAATTAAAGCATCAGCTGGACAAAGCTTTCTCTTTTTTCCCTCCTTCACATTCCTAGGATGCTAAACACCTTGAGGATCAGAAACTAAATGATGCTGCCTCTTGGACGGAGATCACTGAGGGTGAATGAAACAACTCTGATTTAAAAGACTGAAAGACGGTTTCCCATGCGCCTTTGTGCCATCTTGAGTGTCAGAGACAGACCCCCGCAAGGCCCTTCCTGCCTTGTGTTAAGAAGTCAGCGAGGAGTGCCACCTAACTGGATGGAGGACGTTTAGTTCTTACTTGCAGGAGTTGTCCCGTTCAATCCAGCCCAGCATCCTCTTGAATATTTGGAAGTACTTCTCTCCATCTCTGTGCCTGTAGCAACTGGCATTATTCTGTTTGTGATGTTTCTGTTTATGTCTAGCAACATTGAATCCTCCAAGCCGTAGAATGGGTTTCCTCACATAATTCCAGGACCTGGTCAGGGAAGTGAGGGAACTTGTTCCTCAAAGACAGAGCTGTAGGGGAAGCAGGACCACTTATTGTTGTGCCTGGGGCCATTCATATTCTCCTTGATGCTCAAAGAAAAAGTGTATGCTGTGAATGTAAAATTAATATTTAAGGCTACTTACCTAGGGAGCGTGGCTAGGTGAACTTGAGCGGTGTTCTGTTTCTGGGATTTGTTTTGTTAATCCTTTAGCACCGCTGCCTGAGATAGCTAGCTCCTGTCTCAGGACACTGAAGACAGTGCCACTGGAATTAGAGATTGGTTAGTATCGGCATTGACTCAATAACTCTATAGATTTGTGTGCCGGTTGCATTACATTTGGAGTTGAGCACTAGGCAGAGGGAGCATAGCAGTTCTGTTTCCTAAGGCTTTCTGGTTATAGTATTTTTTTTAAACTTTTTATTATAAAGATTTCAGACAGAAGTAGAGAGAATCGTATAATGGATCCCCATGTGCCCATTCCTCAGCTTCCGCAATGCTCAACTCATGGCCAAGCTTGTTTCACGTCGTCTTCTCCCTGCTTGCTTCCCTCTGCATTATTTTGGAACAAATCCCAGATATTGTGTCATTTTATCCATGGTTGTACTTTTTTTAAGATGAAGGTTTTAAATGCATTTTTTTTAAATGCCAACGAAAAAATAAAAGCTTGAAAACAAGAGTGTCGCATCTCAAATCGGGTGTCGTGTGTTCTGTTTCTCCTTCTGAATATGTTGATGTTCTCCTCGGTGCCTTCTACCTTTGCAGTGCAAGCCAGCAGGAAGCCGCAGCAGGTCCTCCAGTTTAAGCCTTACAGTTGAAAGTGCTTTAGAAAGCTTTGATTTCCTGAATACCTCCGATTTTGACGAGGAGGAGGAGGATGGCGATGAGGTTTGTAATGTCGGAGGAGGTGCTGACTCGGTATTTTCAGACACTGAGACTGAGAAAAATAGGTAAGTCTGAAGTTAGCATCTGCTTCTACTTCTCCTGCCACAGCTGGTACAGGAGTTCTTTGCTACTAGCAGATGTGGCCCTGGTGCACAACTCTAGGAAGATCAGACTCCCCGTATGAATGCCAATTGGCTTACTTTTTTTGTCAAATACAACTTTTAAATATTTGTCCCTTCTTTTGTGTTCTTTAAGGGAAAATAAATTGCTTCTCTTCATCGTAAACAAAGGGGAAATTTTTGTGTGAGTGTGTGTGTATACATTTACATGTGTACACATATGTCTTATAGGGTTCAGTGTCTACAACTTGACCCCACCATAAGTAATTCCAAATTAACTAGGTATAATGTGATTCTGGGGAACTGGCACTGGATGAACAGTTCAGACCTGGTTGTCCTTGGCTAATCTCTTTGTTTTGTTTTGTTGTGCTTTGCTTTCCCCATCCCTTTATCTCTCTGTTCCCTTTTGCCCCATGGGGCTTTGCAGTATATTAAGCTTATCAACGTATGTGCCAAAGCCAGGTTTAATCCCCTATGGCACATATTTCCCTTAGAAGGTAAGAAGGAATGACTGATAACTAACTGCCCGCTGGATCTGAGCCCTCCAAGTAGAGAACGTGGCCTTCTCTAGGGTGGGGATGGGCGGGCCAGTGGGGAGAGAGGATGAAGGTGAAATAGTGTCACCTTCTCCACCAGGCTTTCCTGTCGAGCTATAGCCTGGGCTCTATTTTGTAACTTTAGGGGAAGCAAAACAAGCACAGCAGAACAGACTCCGTCAATTGCTGCAGAAAAATACGCGCTTTCCCAAAGGAGAGGCTGCGTTTCTCACCCATCTTTGCTTTTGACATGTTCCATAAACAGGTTTTCAAGTTACAACACACCGTGACTCTCCCACTTTCACAAACCTCTCTGTGGGTGGTGGTAATATTTAGGGATTTTATTGTTCCTGGAGGGTTTCTTCTTCCAATATAAACACAGGACAAGAAAAAATGAAATATAGAATTTATCCCTTGAGCAAGCTGGGAACATAGCAAAGAAAATTTATTAAATGAATGTAATGTTTAAGTTATACTTTTACATTCTACGCAGAGACTTTTCTAACTTGATTGAATCTGTGAGATGCTTCTTAAACCAAAATCTTTCTATATACTTGTTAGCTTAAGCTGTTATATGACATGTCACAGTTGAATATCAATCTAAACTTTTTTCCCTCTTGCTATAAGAAGCATTTAACAACAAAAGCATCACAGCTTTTGTACGTATTACAGAACATTCATATTAAATATGTCTAATTTGATCAATCTTACTGTAGGGCATCAGAGGTATTAGAGAAAATTGTGAAAATTGTACGTATGTTTCAAATTGACTGCCATGCATTGACTGCCAGGATGCAAGCTGAGTGTTTTCCCCCTGGAGGCAAATGTGACTCAGAAGAAAGCATTCGATGCCTCTAAGAGCTAGTGCGTGATCTTTTTAAATTGTCAAGACTGGGGAGCAAGAGACTAGAAGCCAAAAGCCGCTGTGTCGCTGCCTAGTGTGTGAACCAGGATGCTCTTGTTAACGTCTCTGCCTGTCAGTTCTTCCCTATGTGAAAGGAGGCAACTACTCCCTCCCTCCCCAGCACACAGATTCATTTTAAGGATAAAATTAGATAATAGATGCAAGAGATGTATTTTTTAATGTAAGTGCCCATCGTGATATAACTTTAGACAGATCAATAGTGGGGTTAAACAAAGCTTGAGAGGCACAACTCTCTAGGCCCCTTTTAAAGATTCAACTGGCCCTTTTAGCTTTTGTCCAGAGTAGAACATCATGTCTCTTCTTGGCAGCTTTTCTTTTTCCTTTTCTTCAAGGAGCAATTGATCTGAGGCCAGAAAAAAGCCTTGACATTAGTTCTTAATGGTACTGCTCTTGGGAACCTCAAATATAGAGGACAGTTGAAGCCCAGAAAATTTGGCAGATCACCCTGTCAACAGAGCAGGAAAATACCAAATGAGGGCACGTTTCAAAGACTTCTGGGTGAGACTGCTTTATAAATGATTCATTGTGCTTGAGCAGCAAACAGAGAACTCTGGAAGCAATTTGTTTGCCTGATCTTTTAACATTAGGCAAATTGGCAACCAGGCTGAATTAAGAAAGGTATCTTGATTTTTCAAGGTAGGCAAGCGAAAGACTCTGTTCTCAGTAAGTGCTATTGGGGGCCTTCTGTGAGCCCTGTTGAGTTGACCTGTGGTTTCCACACGAAACAAATAGCTAATGTTTCGCTTACCTTCCTGCTCCAACAGTTACAGATCAGTACACCCAGAAGCGAGGGGGCATCTTAGCGAAGCTCTGACTGAAGACACAGGAGTTGGGACTAGTGTGGCCGGAAGCCCTCTCCCACTGACCACAGGAAATGAGAGCCTGGACATCACCATTGTCAGGCACCTACAGTACTGCACCCAACTCGTTCAGGTAGGATTGGTGACACTTGTTTTTTAGAGCCGAGGTTGTTTATGCACCAAGAATGTGTGCTTTCTTTTTTTGCTTTTGCCAGAGAAATGAGAATTCAGGAATCAGAGAAGAGTCCTGCTTTGATTTGAGCCAGCTCGAACACTCTGATAGGTATAGCCTTCCTTCCTCAACCCTGGGTTTTCCTTCTTAAAACTTAGATCTCCAGACCTTGAAAGGTAGCGGGCAAAATAATAGCTCTTACTTTCAAATCATTTGATAATAGATGAGAGTAATGTCGATTAAGAAAAAAAAAAGGAATTTGCATTCTGCCCTCTACAAATGGACTTTGAAAGCCAGTATCACCGAACATATGTTAATTTGAATATATCACATGAGTTCATTTTCCACCACCTGGATAGCTAAAAGCAAAATGCTGCAGAATATAATCACGATTTCCCAGATCTTGAATAAGTACTTATTAGCACCAGAAAAGAATACTTTTATAGGCCATTATCATCACCAGTTACCTTTCATTCTGGGACCCCATGGAGCTTATTTTTCTTCTCATTTCAAGCTGTTTACCACTTACGATTTTGCAACAGCGGAGCAAATACTTCTAAATGCTTTTGTTGCACAAAGGTTTTCAGCTGTCTTGAACAAAGCATTTTCCCCCAAAGCATCTACTTAAACGTTCCCTCCTTGCCTGGTCGCTTGTCTTCTGCCAATCTTGTTCTTCTCCAGCTTGTTTGGATGTGTGGGGAACAGGAAAAGAGTGTGAAAGCAAATGTATAATAGTTTTAGGGAAATGGGGCAGGCAGGAAGGGTGCGAAAAAAGAAAGAATCGTGCTCCTAAGAGCACAAGACCAACTGGAAGGCAAGAGGCAGGGTAAGGAGGAAGGGGTCCCAGGGAGGCCAGGAGTGGGGTAGTGTTGCTTCAGTCCCACACTCATGATGAGATGTAGAATATGCTTCTCCTTGTCCTCCATGAATAAAGAACCCCAAGTAGCCTCAGACACCTTATGTGCTGTGGGAAACTGGTCGACAACTATGACTCTTGCCACTAGGTTGGCCAACACCCGACTTGATCTCTTCTGTTGACTGTTGAATTTACAAGCCATGATGCTGACAACTAACCTGGCAGAAGGTGCAATTTTTTTTTCTGACCCAAATGGACAAGGATTGTTGTTTGTTTAGCTATTCTCTATTCTCCAACCATTTGAATGGGATGGTTTTCACAGCTCTTTGTGCTTACTGAGACTGATTCTGTGCCTAGCAAACCACCTGTTCACCTTTTAGAGGTAAAGTCATTTTTTCTGAGACATAGGAGAATTCTCTTCCGTGAAGGGGTGACTGTTTTCTCCCGAAGACTGATTGGCATGCAATATTCAGTGCAGTGTTTCTCCCCACAAGGAGGCCATGATATAACAATTTAATTCTTCTGCAATGAAAATCAACAAAAGAGGCAGATATAAAGACATAGAATGAAGGAGTAAGGATTAGAAACTCAATTTCTAACTCACGCTCACTCCTGAATCAATAGATTTATTTATTCATTTGATATACAATTGCAGAAAGATGAAAATGAATCTTCTATAAGAATCATAATAGCTATAACTATATTTAAAATAAAGTAGTTCATTTCTGATGTATTTATTTACGTGAAAGGCATTCATACATAATTACTGTGCTAGATCTTTGCATTTGAAAATCCTGTTTCTTTCAGAGTCCAAATGCTTTAGACAGTACAGGATGGTGGTACAGGTCTGCATCCTGCATCCACGCATACTAAGTGACCTGGACAGGTGTCTGAGGGACACAGAAAGCACTAGAACATTCAGGCAGCAACGGATTACTGTCCTGTCTTCTATGAGGCCCTCCCTCATTCTTGTGACCTGCACACAAGTGAAATCACTTACTATTTATGTGACTTTGGGCAGGTTACTTAACCTCTCTGTGCCTCAGTTTCCTCATGAGTAAAATAGAATATCAGTAGTACCTACCTCATTGGGTTGTAGTGAGCAATTGCATGAGCTAATACATGTATAGGACTCAGCCCAATGCCGGGTACATAATAAGCACTCATTATTTCTAATGAGATAGCTTTGATTATAATTATGATTATTATACAACATGCTCTTAATTTTCAGCTTGAAAACAAGGAAATAAATCCATGCTGTGAAAAATTACTACACTTGTAAAATAAATCTTTTTTGTGCTTACACACCAGTAAGCAGCCTAAATATGCCTTCCAACGGGGCAGGCCCGGTGGCGCAGCAGTTAAGTTCGCACGTTCCGCTTCGGCAGCCTGGGGTTCGCCAGTTCCAATCCCAGGTGTGGACCTGGCACCGCCTGGCAAGCCATGCTGTGGTAGACATCCCACATATAAAGTAGAAGAAGATGGGCATGGATGTTGGCTCAGGGCTAGTCTTCCTCAGCAAAAAGAGGAGGATTAGCAGCAGATGTTAGCTCAGGACTAATCTTCCTAAAAAAAAAAAAAAAATGCCCTCCAAGTATCAAAGAGGATTTACAGACTTACAATACATAGAAGGAAAGACAACTTTATGGTAACTTTGCAACTCTACTACTGAGAAAATTCTATAATTTATACAGCCATGATAAAGCTTAAAGTAACAAAAACATGTCTGATTTCATTGATGTTGTAACCGGCATGGAATGAGGAAGGTTATCAAACTGGAACAAACTGTATAAGTTTATTTAATGTCACCACTCCATTCAGCAAGGGTGGGTGGGCAAAGCTCTATTGACAACATAAGTGACACAGTGGTTTTGTTTGTTTTATCAGCAAATTGTTTTCTCAAGCAAAACCCCATTTGTGGCCAGAAATCTCTTAGAGAAGCTTTCTAGGCAAATCCAAGTGATGGAGAAACTCTCAGCTGTCAGTGATGAGAACATAGGAAATATCAGTTCTGTCATGGAAGGTAAGCACCTGCAAATTACACCACCATTCACACAAATGATGACACCGCTGACCCACTTCTCTGCCTGCGTCTATTCATTGCTTTGTTGGGAGCAGAAAAGCATTCTTGGGTCATAGAATAGAGGAATGTCTTCACACTAGTTCAGTCTCGTTAACACCACATTTCAGCCTGGAGAGTCAAACCAGCTGACACATAACTTTTTCTATACAGACTTCTACCTCCATAAATCAGATACTGGTATATAAACAGAACCAGCATACACCTCACAGGCAGAGTTTCACAGACTTGTTCTTCTGGGTGGTTCCATTTGGGGACAGATGATCAGAATGGTTCTTGTGCCGTGGAGCTGGCTAAGACAACTCCCATAGAGGCCGACTGTCAAATGCAAGATGCTCCCAAACTCTACTGGGGAAAGGTAGAAATACGTGGATTCAAAGGCCTTCAGGAGAGTCCTTGATTCAGAAAGTTTGAGGCGGGGGCTTGACATGGGGAGGATGCCTTTGTATTTGTGTGGTCTGGCTTCAGGGTTCTTTGGTAAATTTTTGTCTTTTTTCGCATCAGATATTCAGTGGAAATAACGGAACGCTAAGCTCTTCTAGGTTATTTCTGATTAAGCCTCAAACTGGCTGTAGGTTCTCCCTCTGCATTTGTGCCTCTTCCATCTGGTCCTACCAGGAGCAGGTGACTGTGGCAGGTCTCTGAGACGCATGAAAAGGGGAAGGACATTCAGACTGCCAGTGACTCGTGTCCTCTCCTCCCCCGGGCCCCTCCTCATGATCACAACCACACGTGAAGGGATTGTTGGCCAGGTGCTGCCTGGCACAGTGCTCTTCAGTCATTTCAGTCTGAGAGCCACCTGGGCAGTGTGAGACAGTCCTCCAGCCACCTGCTGTTCTGTTCCACCCCCTTCGGAACAGTCCCCTGAGGTTTGATTCTCTGATCCTGTGTGGTTTTTTGCTGTAGAGTTGCAGGAGTTGAGATGATTGGAACATCTCCTAAGAGGAGAGCTCTGTATTCTCCATCACTGAAAGCAAATAGCATTGCTTTTGCTGCATTTTCCTTGCTGCCCAGGCTGGATGAGTTCCTCCTCATAACTTCTTTGCCCTTTGAACCATCTGCCAGCTACAGAGGAATCTTCTAGTTCTGATTAAAAACCACAGTCTTAAAAAAAAAAAGAAAAAAGCCCCCAGTGATGCCTGCCCCACCCTCACCCTGGTAGGTCTCTTCTTTGGCTTCATTCAACACCTGTGTTGCGGGATGGGGGATTGCTCTTCTTTTCCAGCCATACCAGAATTTCACAAAAAGCTGTCTTTGCTGTCATTCTGGACCAAGTGCTGCAGCCCAGCTGGTGTCTACCACAGCTCAGCCGACAGAATGATTAAGCAGCTAGAAGCCAGCTTTGCCAGAACCGTCAACAGAGACTATCCAGGACTTGCAGACCCAGGTACAGGGCAGCAATAAGGGAAAGCGTGTCTATTGTTCAGTTTGAGAGTGAGCGCTGGTGGGGCTCGCTCACCACTTCCTCCTCAGCTACTTCTGCAAACAGGCTTACTCTCCAGAGAAAACCTCACCTCCTCAGTAAGATCTAAGAAAGGGAGACCTTGGACGTGTTTTAATTCGGAATTATCAGCAGTGACTTTTAAAAGCACTATATTTTGGTATTGCTATTTAGGTATGTATAATTTTTTCATTAAAATGTCACCAATATGAGAATATCAAATGGTTTAACTGCTCTGGAAAAACTGTTTGGCAGTTTCTACTAAAGCTAAATATACCCCTACGCTATGATCCAGCAATTCCACTCCTAAATATATCAAGAGAAATACATGCTTCTGCTCACAAACAAGGACATGTGTGAGAAGGTTCATGGCAGCTTTATTCACAAGAGCCGAAAATTGGAAACTCGAATGCCCATAAACAAGAAAATGGACAAATTGTAATATATTCATACAATAGGGTATTACAATAGCAATTTTTCAAAAGAATAAATTATTGCTATAAGCAACGTTTGGATAAATCTCACAGGTATTTTGTTGAGTAAAAGGAGCCAGATAGAAAAAGTACATACTATATAATTCCATTTATATGAGGTTCAAAAACAGACAAAGCTAATTTATGTTGATAGAAGTCAGATTATTAGTTACCTATAGGGAGGGTGGATGGGTAACTATAGACTGGGAAGGGGCACAAGAAAACCTTATGGGTTGCTAGCAGTGTTCTGGATAGTGATCTAAATGGCAGCTACACAGGTGTATAGATATGCAAAAATCATCCGACTGTACACTTATGCTGAGCTCACTTTACACATTTCTCTCTATTCTGTACCACAGTAAAAAGATAGATGGAGGAGTGAATGAATGGTCATGGTTCTTAAAAGCTGCTTTGTATCTTCCCCTTCCAAATAGTGTTTCGCACCCTGGTGTCCCAAATCCTGGACCGGGCTGAGCCTCTGCTCTCCTCCAGCCTCTCCTCAGAAGTCGTCACTGTTTTCCAGTATTACAGCTACTTTACCAGCCACGGTGTGAGTGACCTAGAGAGTTACTTGAACCAGCTGGCCAAGCAAGGTGGGACGTGTTCTTTTGTCACACTATGTGGTGGCTCACTTTGGAGTTATCTCTGGGTTTTTTGGTCATAGTTTTTAGTGAGGGTAACCTTTTTTTTTTTCCCCAAGTCAACAGCTGGGCTGAGATTTACCTTTTAAATGACTCTGGACTTTTAACATTAGTAAGCCTCTTGGCAGTGAACCAGGAATTTACTAAATCAACCCAATCATCTAGCAGTGGGGTACCGTTAACAGGAAGCTGGTCAATGATTTAAGACTCCACTGTAATTTCTTTCCTTCATTGATGTATTTACCACTTGTAGGATCAAGCCTACATGCAATACTATTTTACGTTGCCCTTTTGAGTGGCACTTTCATAGTAGTAAGCAGAAATGGGATTCAAAAGAAGGCAAAGAGGGTGACAGATTGGGAAGGGAAATGAGGGAAAGATGGGAAACCAAATCTAAGGCTGCACATCACATGGGATGAGAAGAATGGGCTCCAACGTTGGGGTGCGCAGTGAAGTTCATTATTGCCTTTTCATGTGGCACTTCAAATGTCAGAAATAAACTAAGTGTCTGAAATGAGTGAAAACCTCTTTGGGAGTGGAGCCAGGCAAGGAAGAGCTGGTTTCTGGTTCCCAAGTCTGTGATATGTAAATCCACCGAGGCTTGACGATGTGGGTGAAGAGGCGTGGGAATGAGGTCTGTTCTTTGGGAGTAGGCAGTTTGGCCCAGCACCAGGCAGCAGCAACATGTCTGGCCCAGACCCAGGCTTAGATTTTCTCTTTCTGGAAGATTAAACCCTGCGACAACATGTCCAGCACTGTGGTTGGCATCACAGTGAGAGGAAGGAAATCTTCCACCCAGCGCCATACCAGCCTGAACGCCCAAGAGTCTGTGCATAGCCCCTCAGGAAGAGCAAATGCTGGTACAGAGTGCTAGAAAGAGAAAGGCTAGGCAGGTGATGTTGGTTTAGGACACAGAGTCTCACTTATTAGATTCTTCCTCTCTTTTTTTTTTTTTTTTTTTTTGAGGAAGATTAGCCCTGAGCTAACTGCTGCCAATCCTCTTTTTCTTTTTTGAGGAAGACTAGCCCTGAGCTAACAGCTGTGCCCATCTTCCTCTACTTTATATGTGGGACGCCTGCAACAGCATGGCATGCCAAGCGGTGCCATGTCCACACCCGGGATCCAAACCAGCAAACCAGCCCCGGGCCGCTGAAGCGGAACATGCAAACTTAACTGCTGCACCACTGGGCCAGCCCTTCTTCCTCTACTTTATATGTGGGACGCCTGCCACAGCATGGCTTGACAAGCAGTTCATAGGTCCGCACCCGTGCTCTGAACCAGTGACCCTGGGCTGCCAAAGTGGAACGTGCGAACTTAACTGCTGTGCCACCAGGCTGGCCCAGATTCTTCATTTTTTGATATTAAATTGTCACAGTCTAGATCAAGTTTCAGAGTAAATTTCTGTATTACTCAGTTTACATCAGTGGCAGTTGACATCTCCAAGCCTCTTATTACATGGTCCCAGAGAAGGCCTGCTCATTTATTGGTAGGAATAGAAAATGAAATGAAAAAAGCCCTAACCTTTTACATGTCTTTTTTTTTTTCTTCACAAAAGAAAAAGGGCTTGATTATAAAAAAGAAAAATTTAGAAAACATAGAGAAGCATAAAGGAAAAAGTTCAAATCACCCATTCTCCTACTTTTAGAATTTAATATATTTTTCAATTGAATATGCATGGGTTTTAAATTTCAAAATTGTGATTACTCATTCTAGAATGTTACATTCTGGTTTTTTATTTGGTATTATATCCCACGTTATTAATTCTTTGAAATAATTTTTTTAGTTTTACAGGATCCCTGCATTTGGATATAGACTAACATATTTGATTACTGTTGAACATTTAGGTTGTTTTCCATTATGTTTTTTTTTAGCTGTTATACATGGTACTATCTCAAGACTTTTAATTAGGCTATTTATTTATAAAGTAGCAAAATCACCAGAACATACGCAGGAGGAGAAATAAGAAATTAAAGCAAAAGAAGTCTTGATAGTTCACAAACTTCTCTATTGTGTAGAGGATGCTGCTCTGTCAACGGAACATGAATTTTAGCTTATATTTTCCCATCTGTACTGACAGACACACTCCCATCATAACGTTTTTGTGGCTAACAAATGCCCATGCTGGATATCTAGTTAGGAATTCCAGTACATTCCTTAGTTAATCAATGTGGTCAGTTTGTCCAAATGGGACTCAAAACCCTATATTTTATCATATTGTCTCCATATTCCAGCCAACCAACCGGATTTCTCCATCAGGGCCCAGCTGCCTGAGTGCAGACAGAGAGGACGCAGAGTTGGGGTCGCTCACGGTTAAGGTTTTGCCAGACGGGTCTGACTGAAAGACAGGGGCAGCAGAGTTTTCTCTCTCCGGAAGATTGTACAAAGTGTTTACTTGTATTTTCTTCACTACGTATTTTTACCTTTGACGATTTAATTCACCTGTAAGTTGTTTTGGTAGCCATTATGAGGAGGCTCCACCATCACTGTTTTCTCATATGATTTGCCATTTGCCTTAATATAATTATCTGAATAATCTGTCCTTTTCTCACTAGTTGGAAACATCACCTGTATCATATGCTAATTTTTCATATACACTTGGGTCTGTTGTTATGTATATACTTGAGTCTCATTTATATTTCTAATGGGCGTGTTACTTTAATGTCAGAAAGTGAACTCTTTTCTTCTCGCTCTCTAGTTTCCATGGTTCATACTCTACAATCATTAAGAGATGAAAAACTACTCCAGGCCATGAGTGACCTTGCACCGGGCAGCCTGCCAGCCCAGCAGGAAGTTCTCAGGACTCTGGCTCTGCTGTTAACTGGGGACGACAGTGAAGTCCGAGAGGCTGTGACGCTTTACTTGACAGCAGCCTCCAGAAATGAGCATTTCAGGGAAAAGGTAGGGCACAAAATCACAGGCATCGAGCCAGAAGCTTGTTTAATTTTCTATCATTTACTATTAATATTTTGTCATTTGTTCTTTTCTAAAAATAATTTTCTTCCACTTATTGATAATATATACCCTGTAAAACAATTTAAATTGCAAAAATGTTCTATAAGTACTTAAACGCCTGTACGTCCAGCCGCCAGAGAAAACTATTAATAACTTAGTGTCTATTCCTTCAGATTTTTTTCTATGTACATGCTAACATATGTAATTACTTTTTCTTAAATTAGATCACACTATTCTGTTGTGTAATTGATTTTTTTTTTAAAGATTTTATTTTTTCCTTTTTCTCCCCAAAGCCCCTCGGTACATAGTTGTATATTCTTAGTTGTGGGTCCTTCTAGTTGTGGCATGTAGGACGCCGCTTCAGCATGGCTCGATGAGCAGTGCCATGACTGCGCCCAGGATTCAAACCCATGAAACACTGGGCCGCCTGCAGCGGAGTGCGTGGACTTAACCACTCGGCCACGGGCCGGCCCCCGTGATTGATTTTTTAAATGTACTATATCGTGGTTATTTTCCTTCCATGGCAGAACATATTGATCTACTCCATTCTATTTGATGGATCAATGGCATCTCAGTGTATAGACAGCCCATAATTTATTATTCTATATTGGTGGGCATTTGTATAGTTTCCAACTTGGAAAAATGTTATGGTGATCATACATACGTATATGGTGATCATACATGTGTGTTCACACACACTTATTTTATGAGTAGTTTGGGGTCAAGTCGTCAAACTGTTGGGTCAAAGAGCTAGAGTATTTTTAAGTTTAAAAGCTATCACTCTTGTTGCTAGGAAAGGGATGATTTACCTGTTTCTTGGCTTCAATCCAGTAGCCATCCAGGTGTAACAGGCATCTGCAATTCAAGCCCATTGGGGCTGGGACAGGGGCCTTGGTCCTCTGGGCGCCCTTTACAATTTGAACGGTCATTCTAACAACTAACTCCCATCAACCTTCTCCAGCTCAAGAAAATTAAACTTGGCTCCTTCTTGTCCTTGGAAAGGTCAAATGTTGGACTCTGAGAAGAGTCTAACTTTTCTAAGGCATTACCTGAGCTAGGGTGTGGTGGGATGTTGGTGTACTCACAAGAAGATAGTCCATTCTAATGCTATTTTGGGCCAAGAGCATGAATTTTGTATTGTTCTTTCCCGCAAAGTTGTGGACTTTTACTGGAATTGGGTCAAAAGGCTGTTCTATGGGCCAACTGTCCTCACCCTCACTGAATGAGAGGAAGAAAGTTAAAGAAGTGAGAACACTGCTGGTAGCCGTGTATACAGGCATCCGAGTGTACAGAGTTTTCCGTGAGCAGGATCTTGGCACTCTTGATCATGACAAGGAGCCAGGCTTCTAGCATCCCCTTAGAAACAGCAGCAGTTACAATGTGGCCCTCCTCTGGCACTTCCGTATGCACCTTTTACTTTTAGGGAACGTCCACGGGTGACATGATCTCTTTTTATTTGAATTCAGCTCTTACGTTTATTCTCTCGAATTTATTTTTCATGAATGAGTCTTTATTAAGTGACTGATGTGTCCCTGACGCAGCATGGAGGATTTTGTGGACCCAGTAGAAATAAAGGGAAAATAGTCCCTGTCCTTGGAGTGTTTCCAATCTAGTCAGAAAAATAAGAAATAATAATCACTGCCAATTACTGAGTACCTACTAAACACCAGTCACTGTATTACATCGCTTATGTGTCTTCTCTATAACAAGATGGGTGTTATTATCCTCTATTTTATAGATGAGGAAACTGAGCCTCTGAATAGTTAAACTTGGCTAAGATGACACTAGTTAAGTGGTAGAACATGGATACCACCTAGAAATGTTAGGCCCCCACCCAAACCCTGAACTCTTTCCATTTTTTCTTATATGAAATAGCAAAGGTTAGTTCATTAATTCTTGAAACTAGCTGTGAAGGGCTAAAGCAATACAAAAATACCTAGATGAGAGCTGGTGTTACTGTAAACCTTGAACCTTGCTTCAAGAATCATAGCTATTGAACTAAAAGTTGTGTGTTGATTCCTTCTTCTATGCTTTTTTCCTCCCAACTAGACAAGTAGGATATATCTTTTCTTCTCCAATTATACTGTCATATTGGGATGTTGTTGCTTCTTTAATCATCTAGGACCTGCCAAGGGAGATGCTAACTCTCTTGCATTGCAACAGGGGGCTTCTTGCTTCACAGTACACCCTCTGTTTGCTTCTTAGAACTACTACCAATCTAGTGTCACTGCAGCCACCATTTCTTAGGCAACTGCTCAAACTAAAATAAGCAATGTGATGCTCACTTCTTTTGCGAGATTGTGTATCTCTGCATGGCACAGGGCAGTGCCAAATGCTTTCAAGAAATAGCCCCCAGATCCCACTCAAGCCAGTAGAGATTCAGTCCTGTACTCCAAGGGACAGTGTGGCCCAGAAGCCCCCTCCAAAGTTCCTTTCCCAGTGGTGGACTGACCCAGGTCAAGATCCAGCACTTCATCCCCATTGAATCATTGTTATAATCTAAACATGCCTGAGAGGAAGGACAATTTAAGTCATTATCAGTCATTTAAGCCTTAGAATGTATGGTTTGAAAGAGTTAAACCTTTGGTTTGGTTGTTAAACCTTGAAGGCTCTTAGGAGGGATAAATGAGGAAAATAGAGAAGAGCTGTGTGCTGAAGTTCATCCACTTTATAATTTTAACAATAGCTAGTCCTGGAGGTCAAAATCAATTGATTATGAAAAAGGCTAAGTGAAATAGGACTTCTACTATTACTATTATTCTTAATAGCCAAAAGTGGAAATAATCCAAACGTCCATTAACTCATGAATAAACAAAAGTGGTCTGTCCTTACAATGGAATATTATTCAGCATAAAAAGGAATGGGGTGGTGATACATGCTACAACATGGATGAACCTTGAAAACATGATGCTAAGTGAAAGAGCAAGACATAAAGGCCACATATTATATGATTCCGTTCATATGAAATGTCCAGAATAGGCAAATCCATTGAGACAGAGAGTAAATTAGTGGTTGCCAGGAATTGGAGGAAGGAGGAAATGGGAATGACTGCTGATGGATGCAGGATTTCTTTCTGGGGTAATGGAAATGTTCTGGAATTAGATAGTAGTGATGGTGTGTGAATGTCCTAAAAACCACTGAATTATACACTTTAAAGGGTGAATATTATGGTATGTGAATTATATCTCCATTTTAAAAAAGAATGGAGTTCTTCTATAGAACTGAATAAACAGGATATGTTTAACCACAGCTGTGGGTGACCATCACAATACTATGTGGCATCTCATGACAATCACATCATTAAGTGGCTGATTACACTTTCAAGCTATTTCGTCTAGACACTATGATGGGTACCCACTAAGTACAGAATAACGTTCTAGGTTGTATAAGGAGTTTAATAAATTAAAAACACAAAACGAGATCTTCATCCTTAGGGAGCTTCAACGTAAATGACATCACTGTGGTATCTTTTTCCTATAAACAAATATATGAATTCACAGATATATGTAAGAATAGAAGTAATATTAGAGCTGTATTTATTGAGGGCTTACTTTGTGCCAGGCACTATTTTCAGAACTTAACATGTGATGCCACATTTAAAATTCACAAAGCCCTATGAGTGGGTCTTATTATTACAACCATTTTGCAGATTAGCAGATTGAGGCACAGGAAGTTAAGTAAAATGCCTAAAATCATATGTGAGGAAATTGAGAGACATATTAGAAATATATATACTTATAAATACAGACACATATAAATAATGACAGTTAGCTTAATACAAATCAAGGAAAATGTAAATCATAAGAAATCAGAGAAAAGGATCCTAGAGAGCTGGTCACACAGTGGTTAATGAAGTGGGACCTGGGTCTTGAGCCCATTTTGAAGAAAGTCAGGAATGAAGCCTGTCCAACAGGAGAGCAGAGCGCATGGAGTTCTCTGTGGGGAGCACAGTGACTGGATTCAACAACGGAGTGTGGCAGGAAAAGCAAGCAGTTAGAGAGAGAGTGAGTAGCCAACTAGTTTAGGACCTTGAAAAGCTCATAATGAGGAGTTCCAATCCAATGCCAGGCCAAAATAAAGAGGAGAAGGCACTTGACCATCCTAAGAGATGGGAGGTCGGTAGGCTCATGAGAGTCATAATATACACTTGAGGAAGGGATCCCTCATCATTAGATGCTGGAAGCAGAAATGCTGTGGTGGTGATCCAGGCATGAAATTAAGACCTTGGGAGGACAGGTGGCCATGCAAAAGCGAGAAGTTGAAGAATTATAAGCTATTTAGCTTGGTAAAAATAAGAAAATTTATTTTTGTAGAGCTTTTTCTACAGATATCCATATGCCATGTATAAACACAGCACTGCCTTCTCGCTGGAACTTCCTGCCTCCTGTCTTCCTTTTGGCTGGAAGGCCATTTGCTCCCCCAGCTTCCCAACTGAAATCTAACCCATCCTTTCCAGTCCAGTTCAAACATCATTTTTGTGGCACCTGCCCTGGCACTCCAGAAGATGACTCTCTTCCACGTGACTGACTTAGCATTGCATCGATTTTTTGTGGCACCTGGTACATTTCTTCTCTGAAGTTCCTTCTAAATAATCTTAGCATTTCTGCTAGACCTGAGGGTCCCTTGGAAGCTAGAATCATAACTTTTTATCTTCCAAATTCGTATTCCCCAGAGTCTGTGACATGGTAGAATATAAAAGATCAATGTATTGAATACTGAGACTACTCTTTTAATAAACATGAATTTTGGTTGGTCTTATTTTTTTTGCTCTGAAGGTAGTGCAGAATGTCTTGTTTTATGCCATAGTTTATCTCAGGGAGTAAAAATGATATATAGCTCTGAAACTACAAACACATCCAAATGTCTTCACACTCTCCTTCTCTTTCAGGCCTTGCTCTATTACTGTGAAGCACTAACAAAGACAGACCTTCAGCTCCAGAAGGCAGCTTGTCTGGCCCTCAGAAGCCTGGAGGTAAAGCCCAGCATCAGGCCCCCTGGCAGCTGAGCTTTGAGCACGACTCAGCCAAGTGTACAGAACGGCTTTCCTTCCATATTCAGGAGTGCCTGTCGTAGCAGCATTTCCCATCTCCTGAGCTTGCTATCTTAGCTTGGGGGTTCCTTTTATCTTTACACAGTAACTACATATGACTTTGTTTTGTTAAAGTCAATAAGTTTCAGAAAGCAATTATGTTTTTCAATAACCCACTGGAATCAGTTTGCCTCTGGGTCAATATTAAAAAAGTTTATCTTTTCCCCAAAGAGAGATGAGATGATGATTTCACCAATTTTTGTTGTGTCCAAAAAAATAGCAGGGACAAATAGAATTTGCAAAGAAGTACTAAAATTCATTGTGCTTGTAAATTTCTAGATCCTTCCCCATGAACTGTTATTACTAAACGGCTCACTAATCTTAATTGGGTCAGAGGGAGGTGTTAGTGAGCAATGAGAGAGCTCAAAAGGAAATGGAAAAAAGGGCTGAGAATTCCCAACATGAAAGAGTTTGCCTTTCAATAGTCAAGATTTAATGTTTGACCTACCTTAATCACAAAAAACAAGACTAATCACTATTGAGAAAAGAATGAGAAAGCCACACCTTAGAACTTGCTAGAATCTTGGATGGGTGCGTGGGACAAGGGGCAGGGACCTGCAGGCCTGATGGGACATGAAGAAAGGGATTAACACCTCAAAAGAAAAAGTTACTGACCTGTGAAGAAAAACCGCTCTGGGAAATTTTGCCTTCCTTGTTACTTGGTCAAAAAATTACCTTTAGGTGACCAAAAAAAAAGCCCACAGTGAGTGCTCTCCTGATATACAGTGACCCATCAGGATGATGGCTGTGATATGGAGTTAACGTAAATAGAGACATGAGGATGCAGTGATCTGCGTTGGCTTTTGTGAATTTACATGCTGCGAAGGTGATAGTAGAAGCTAGTTTCAAATTCTGGCATATCCCAAGTGTGGGAGCCCCGATTCCTCCCCTTTTCCCTTTTCTCCTAGAAGATAGGATCCTTTGTGCAGAATAAAAGACCTCTTTCTAAACCAACCCTAGCTCCTGAAAGGGGCTCTATGAGCGTGGTGTGAAAACAGTGCAGACTCATGGTTCAGCCGCCCAAACCGATCAACTAGCTACCTTGTCGGGGAAAATAATTTTTTTTAATTAATGATAGCAAGCAGACATCCCACATTTTTCTTTTCTATTATCACACTGGAAATGACCTTGAGGGATGAGGGTCCTTAAATCCAGTGGCCCTCCAATTTTAGGTTCCTGAGCTGTCTCATTGGGCTAAAATAACCCAGAGTCTACGCATGCTGCTCACTCCAGTTTGCCATGTTCTGGCACCCAGCACCACCACCACCGCTTCATAAACCTAGCTGTCTTCCGAGAAAGAAAAACCTAATTTTTTTTTTAAGTTAAGATATACTTTTATTTTTTTTTTAAGATTTTATTTTTCCTTTTTCTCCCCAAGCCCCCCCGTACATAGTTGTATATTTTTAGTTGTGGGTCCTTCTAGTGGTGGTATGTGGGATGCCGCCTCAGCATGGCCTGATGAGTGGTGCCATGTCCACGCCCAGGATCTGAACCCGTGAAACCCTGGGCCGCTGAAGTGGGGTGCGAACTTAACCACTCGGCCACGGGGCCAGCCCCAGAAAAACCTAATTTGTTACCTATTGTCAACTCCTCAAAATCTCAGCAAGAGCACTTCTGTTTTGTAGCAGGCGGGCTGCCTTTCTCTACCTGCCCTAAATACGTGTTCACAGAGATGCTATGCTAGGCCCTCTTTCCCCTCTGCGTGTTCTCCCTGGGTAAACATCGACTCCCATGTCTTCCATTGTCATGTACATGCTAATAAGTCCCAATATTTCCAGTCCTGGCCTTCCTTTCCCACCTCTTATCCAGCTTGCTGTTAGATATCTCCGCTCGGAAGTCACCTTTCACTCGACCCATCTCACCCCCACATCTAGTCTTCTGTGTCTTAATGATCACACAATCACCTCCCAGTAGCTCGTGCCTGAAATCTAGAAGCCATCAGTGACCACCCCCCTCCTCCTCCACATCCAACCAGCCTCCCCATCCTGTAGATCCCACTTCCTCAGTAGCCTGAATCTGTCCACTCTTTATCCCCACTCTTTTCACCTGGATTCGAGCAACCTTCCTACCAGTCTCTTTGCCTCTTTAGAGTCTGAACCCCCTTCAGTCCATCTTCTTTGCTGCAATTGGAATGCTCATAATAAAATACAAATCCTGCCTAAAACTCTCCCATGGCTTTCGATGATCTTAGAATGAAGTCCAAAAGCTTTAATGTGACTTGTAAGGCCCTCCTTGATTTGGACCCTGTCACAAGCTATTCCCTTGTCTAGAATTTGTTTCCTTCTCCACACTCCCAAATACACATGTGCATGCGCACACACACACACACCCCTACCACATGCCCAAACCTGGCTAACTCCTCTGCGATATCATTTCCTCCATAAAGACTTCCCTAATCAGACCGGGTTACATTTCCCAGTCATGTTCTGCCCTAGCACCCTGAATCAGCCTATTGTTCATTATAATAATTACTTTACTTGTTTAACAATCTGTCTTTTCACTAGACTGTAAACTCTGGAGGGCCAGGACTGTGTCTTGTTCATTGCTGACTATCTCATGTCTTGTGAACTGAATGGTTCATGTGGAGTGCTCAATAAATGTTTGTGGAATAAACAAACAGAAGAATTCCCATCCTTGACCTTTATTCTTTTCCTCCATTTTAGTATATAAGTTAAATATTAGGAATTCTTAAATTAGAGCTATTTTGGAAGGAGTACGATACAGTGGAAAGAACTAGGAGAAGTAAATTCTATTCTAGAAAAGCAAGCTAGTCACTTCACTGCCCTAGGCCTGGAGTCCTCGGTGAAATGAGGAATTTAGCTGATCATCGGAGCTCCTGCAAGTACAAATCCTGGGCTCCAACCCAGGAAATTCTAATATAGTCCGTCTGGAGTGGTGCCCAGGAATCTGTACTTAAAAGACCTCGCTAAAGTGACCCTGACACTCAGCTAGGTTTGGGAACCCCTGAGTAGGATGGTTTTTAAAGTCCCGACCAGCTTTGAAATGCTAAATCTCATGTAATCGTAGACATAAAAACAGAATGCTATTTTATGTATTTTCTCCTTGTAGGCTACTGAAAGCATTAAAATGCTGGTGACATTGTGTCAGTCTGACACTGAAGAAATCAGAAATGTGGCCTCAGAAACCCTCTTGTCTCTTGGTGAGTTGTTTTTTATGTGATTGTTTGCTTTTTTTTTTTTGCAATTTTTTTTATTGTGGTAAAACATAAAATTTACCACCTAAACCCTTTGCAAGTGTATAGTTCAGAAGTACGTATATTCACATTGCTGTGCAACGTGCAGAACTCTTCTCATCTTGCAAAACCAACTCTGTCCCCATTGAATAATAACTTCCCAGCTTCCCCTCCCCTGGCTTCTGGAAACCACCATTCTGCTTTCTATCTCTATGAATTTGACAACTCTAGTCACCTCACATAAGTGAAATTATAGAGCATTTGTCTTTTAGTGACTGCTTTATTTCATGTAGGTTAATGTCTTCAAGGTTCATCGATGTCGTGGCATGTGTCAGAATTTCCTTCCTTTTTAAAGCTGAATAATATCCCGTTGTATGGAGAGACCACACTTTGTTTATCTGTTCCCATGATTGTTTACTTTTGATACCCTCAAAGGGAACTGTAAGGAAAAATTTCACGTGCCCTGTTTTAGCAATTGTCCCCCTATAGGCTATCTGCTCACACTTCTGTACACACACACACACACACACAGAGAGTATAAACAACTGATCAATTTCTATCTCCCCCCAACTGCTGGTTCTAACTGTCTGGATGTTGAGGGTGAGTGTTGCTTTCTGGAGCTTTTCTAGATGGGTTGACCAGTCTGTGCACCATGTGGAATCAAGAACATAGAAGTCAAACCATAATGCAGGGGTAACAGTCAGAATCCAGATTGGATGGCCAGGTTGGGGTCAGCGCTATATGGAGGACAATGATTGGCTGAGGTTCCAGGGTGCCTTCCCCAGGGAATGCCATCATCCCCCGGGTACCTTAGTCTGACTGTCAGGTTAACCTCTGATTGCCCTGCTGGCCTGTGCCTCCCTGAGCCCTAACACCAAAGAAGAGAAGATCAGTCTTATTTTATTCTAGAATAACCAGATAAACCTTCCCCTTCACTCCACTTTATAAAGGTTCATGCCTAACAGCTTTCATACTTTTATTCTTTTGGGGGAGTTGGGAGGGTAGAAAGAGGCTTTTTTAACTCTGCATAAAAAAATATAAATGTTATAAATAAATAAACTACTACAACATACTCTTAAAGTATAAAAACTATACACCTAAAAGTCCTCAAATATAATCCGGTCAATAAGACTAGCTGGAAAAAAGCCACCCTAGTTTGACTTTAGTAGCTTAATAACGTAATAGGAAATCTCATGGCATTTATAATCACCGTGAAAATCACATTCATTGTTAGGTGTTCTTTCTTCATTACTGGTTTAGTACGGCTTCGTTCTGCTTTTGAATATATCATTCGATGTACAGAAATCTTGGCCAGCATATGTTTGTTTAGAGGATAAAACAGTTTTTCCTTATGGCTGTTTTAGGCATAGAAATTATTTAAATCCCTAAAACTGTGCCCAGGATATTGTTAGTTTGAACTTCTTTTATCCCTTAATGTTCTGAAATAACAAGGTGTGCTGGACATGTGTAAAGCGTAGCCAACAATGCTTGTCTTTTCAGTGTAACCTCAGGAAGCTTATCCCTATTGAAGGTGCCCCAAGATTCACTTCAGCTGCAGAAATAGCAGCATCTCCAGGCCTGCTCATCACGCCTGCTTCACCTTAGCTCTTTACAGACAGGGCTCCCCGCGGCCCCCAGGCCCTCTCGCACCACCAGATCATGGTTCTCAGCGCCAGCTGCACATCGGAATCACCAAGGAAGCTTTAAAATACACCCATGCCTGGGTTCCACTTTCAAAGGTTCTGCTTTCATTGGTCTGAGGTGTGCCTTGGCATTGGGATTTTTATAATTCTCCCAAGTGATTCTAATGTGCAACAAAGTTTGAGAACCTCTCAACTCAATGTTATGAATCTCCTTTGACCCTACTACGTAAATACTGGTGCATTTTTATTTCACACAGACGATTGAATTGATATAATGAAAACAGTGTTTTCAGTGGAAGTTGATAAAACTGCCCTCGGATGAGGGTGGTCACAGGGCATTTGAGGGACTCAGAGCAGCAGCTGTTTACCAGCCAGTACGGAGTTACTTCAATATTTTAACCTAGAGCTGCCCAGCAGGTCCCTCTGTGACGATGGGAATGTCCTCTATGTGCACTGTCCCATACGGCAGCCAGTATTCTCATGTGGCTATGGAGCATTTCAACGTGGCTGCTGTGAATGAGGAACTCAAGTTTCCACTTTAATTTTGAGTGGTTGCCATTTAAATTTAAGTAGCCACATGCGGCTGGTGGCCACTATATTGGACAGTTTTCACCATGGCTATGGACAGTCCGTTGTGTCCTGGCTGGACCTCAGTCCCGTTTGGAACCACACTGCCTGACACCCCAAAGCTCGAGCTCTTTCTCCTCCAACACCATACCTACTTCATAGGACTGTTAAAGGACCAGCGGAGGAGCCAACACAGATCAAAGCCCACTGAAAACTGAATGATAGGAAGAGTGAGATGCCCTGAGGGCCCAGCCCTGGTTGTGTCGCTGTAACACCTGTAGAGGAATTGCTCTGTGTCAGGCACTGTTTTGAGACATCTGCAGGGGTTAGCTTGTTTAATCCTCTCCAGGACTCCATGAGGGAGGAAGTACCGTCAGTCTCATTTTACAGAGGGGCACACTGAAGCCTGCTGAAGTTGCATAATCCGCCATGGACACCCAGACCCATAGGGCACTGCCATGGAATCCCAACCCCCTAGGCCACCTGGACTCTGTGGGTCTCTGGGGGAAGAACTGAACACCTCAAAATTGGAATATATCCATGAGCAAACTAGGAACTGGCCTGGTATTCGCTGTTTTTAAAATAGCATTCATTAGCCAAGGCATCCATGGGAGTGTGTGTGAGGGGCAGGGAGCATGGTATGAATGGGCCTAGCTCGGGCTCTCTGTCTCTCCATCTCCCCCCGTCATCAGCTGAAAAGCTGCTGTTTTTAATGTTTTCTATGTCAGGGTTTTGCATAAATGTTTAGTTTCAAACAAAGGGCTCTACTCGAAAGTAATAAAAAGTTGAAAACCACCAAATTAGGAAAAAAGAAAAAAAATAGCATTTGCCTCAGAAAAGTCAAGGCATGCAGGAAAAAAATCAACAAAAATCTCTTAAAATTCTTGGCTTTTGCTCATAGAAGAGTTCACTACAAAGTTCTTTTAAATACAGGCGAATCTCTACTTTTATATCCAACGTATTACTGAAAATGTTAAATGTACCAGAAAAAAAAAAAAAGAACAGACTTTTGGTTTATTAAAAGGCTTCTGTTTCCAGAGACTACAGTATATTATAAAATCCATGATTACACTCCTTTTCTAAAACCCACTAATATGAGTGTATTTCCAACGTTCATGAATCTTTTTTTTACTTTTGTTTTTTTCACAATGAACTTCTGATTGAGCACAACTAATTATTCCCATCTTTGTCTTATTGTATTAAATGTGTGAAAGCCTGCTTCTTATCGCCAGTGTCTGTTACTCATTTTCCGATTTTCTAATCATGTTTTTAAAAATAGGAAAAATGGAACAAAATATTCAAATAATTTGCAAATACATGCTAGCTGTTCCTATTCAAGATGGTACTACTGACAAAACTGAACTAGCTGTTGGCTGGTAGACGGCATGACCACGTTTATATGGCAAAGAGTAATTTTTCAGCTGAAGTTTGAAAGCCTAAATTTGACTTTTATGAAAGATCGTTTAGATGTACCAATATATAAAAGCAAAAGTTATGTAAAAGTTCAATGCACTGAGGGCCGGCACAGTGCGCAGCAGTTTAGTGTGCACATTCTGCTTCAGTGGCCCGGGGTTTGCCAGTTCGGATCCCAGGTGCGGACATGGCACTGCTTGACAAGCCATGCTGTGGCAGGTGTCCCACATATATAAAAAAAAAAAAAAAGAAGAAGATGGGCATGGATATTAGGGCCAGTCTTCCTCAGCAAAAAGAGGAAGATTGGCAGCAGATGTTAGCTCAGGGCTAATCTTCCTCAAAAAAAAAAAAAGTTCAATGCACTGAAATGAAGGACCAGCCATATTGAAATCCCTAATGTTCTTAAAATATAATCCATATGATTTCTCAGGAGTAGATCTATTATGTGAAATTATCAACACCAAATGCCCGTAGAACTTCTACTCTGATTCACATGTTGGCATTCTTTTAGTCTCTGGCTTAGCTCAAAAGTTCTCGGTTGTTCTAAACATTACTTAGAAAACAGTATAATTAAGAATAACAGAAGATGACTTTTCGGGACCTAAAGTTCACATTAGCAAAATATAGCGATCCATACCCAAACAATTGGTATTAATTTATCAGAATTAATTATTCTGAATGACGAATTAAAAAGTTAAGTTTAAACTGGTATTCATTTTTAATGTTCTATATCCAGGAGAAGATGGGCGGCTTGCATATGAACAGTTGGACAAATTTCCTCGAGACTGTGTTAAAGTTGGAGGTCGTCATGGAACTGAAGTTGCCACGGCCTTTTAATTACAAGTTAACTCTGCCTAACGGCTGACTTAATAAATGGCCCTCTTAATCAAGATGGTGCTGTGATTTAGCTGGAATGTGTTTCAAACTTGAAGAGTTCTGTTGAGGTTGTCCGGAAATTTAATGTGTTATCAAAAGAATTCAAAATCCAGTTTCACAGTACGTATCCACTTCTTTGGCCAACAGAATAGGGCTATGTATAATTCAGTAGATTACATTGTTGGTTGCTTCTGACAATAGTAAGAGTCCATCTTATCTAATATGTATGGGATTTTAAAACAGCCATCTTTGTACTTTTTGGGAAGATCTTCTATAAGCTCAAAATAGTCATGTGATAGCTTGATAAATATCATACGCCTTGCAGTTTTTCTCTGTCATGTTCTCAGGGTTGAGTGGCCCCCTTAGCTACCTAATTTTATGTTAAACGCAAAGCACAAAAAAGAATTTCTTTGAATAAAAGTTTGCCTGCAGAACCTGGTAAAATGACACATTTTAAGGGTTTAATTTTTTTAAATTTCATTTTTTCAAGCCTCCACTAATTTCTTTTGTTTCTTTTCTTCATTCTGAAAATTCCGAAGCATGTTTTCGTTATGGTAAAAAGATAAGTAGATGACTAAGGACTACCTTATTAAGATTCTACCCGTGCTCATTTAAAAAAGGACACGCAAAACTTAAGCTATTTTTAAAAAACAAGAGCCATTCTTTTTATGATACTTTTACAAGAGAGCTATTTTACTGCTAGCACAAATCAAAACCAAAAGTCACGGATGCAGAAAGCTGTGATGCTTTTTGAGGTAGAAGAACCTGGAACTTGGAGGAATCCTAATGGGTTGGGAGCAGAGGGACATTAAAAGTGGTCCTGGCTTCTGTATTTTTCACCATGAGTTTAGGAAGAAGAACACTTTGAGGGATGGTTACTGCCCTAGACAAATCATTCACCACTGGATAGGCTCCTCTGCCAAATAGTTAAAACCACAGCTCCCATTATTGCTTCCATATCAAGGCAGCAAGTCCATTAAATAAAGTACAAAACCACTCAGTAGCTCTTATTAAATAATTTTTCTTCCTTTTAAGAGTATACAAGGTGGGATATGCCAAGATAACAAAATAATATGTATGAGTATAATTTAAACTGTGGAATATCGACTGTATTCTGAATGTGTTTGTATAAAATATCATTTAGATGTCATTTTAAATATTTACATTTTAGCAAGACCTTTAAAAACAACTCATTTCATTTGCAAGTAAAAATTGTTCGCCAGGCTTCCTGGCAAATAGTTCTTTCAACTGTGAAGTTATAATGTATATATATATTTGTATATTTATAAATATTATATATATGCATATATCCTTCATTTTAAAGGTACATTGTACAGTCCATAGTTAGTATGTATAGTCTATAGTCTCTGTTAAATGGTCAAGATGACTGTTTTTATAGAAAGTCAAATCACCAATGTGACAGAGTTTTCTGTTTGGTTTGGTTTTTTATTTTTTGAATATTGCATGAGCAATTAATTCCGTATCTTTTGTATTCACTTTGCATTTTATTTTTGGTTGAAGGGGGTGCTTTTAGTTTTGTGGCATTTGTATTCATCACTCTTTCAATCATGTAAGTTAAAATAAAAATTATTTTTGGATTACTAGTCTCATGTACAGAGTCTAGCGTATTTTTTTCACATGGCTTTCTTGAGTTGGTATTTACACAATATACTACACCTCAATCTCAACTTGAATTTATTCTTATCTTAAAATTCCTTCATCTAGGGGTCGGCCCCATGGCTGAGTGGTTAAGTTCATGCACTCCGCTGCAGCAGCCCAGTGTTTCACCGGTTCGAATCCTGGGCGTGGACATGGCACCACTCGTCAGGCCGTGCTGAGGCGGCGTCCTACATAGCACAACTAGAAGGACCCACAACTAAAAATACACAACTATATACTGGGGGGCTTTGGGAGAAAAAAGAAAAATAAAATCTTTAAAAAAAATTCCTTCATCTATAAATGAAGATAATATTTACTTCTCAGATTTGTTGTAAAGCTAATTAGAGAAAAAGAGCTGTGTTTCAGAGTTATGGAACAGAGACTGTGAGCTCCTTGAGGGTAAAAAGAGCCTTCATTTACTTGCGTATGTTCCCAGCCCAAACCCCCACCAACATCGTCACAGAGGGGTCCCTAACATTCAGCTCCAAGAGGAAGTATTTACCAAGTGACTCATTAAATACCAGCAAATGCTCATCATTTATGAGCATCAGTAAAAACACTTTCCCCCATAAGGTTTGTTGCTGTACTGTTAGAATTGCCTTATTTACTTTACAAAATTATGAAGTAAGATTGTAACCCTAAATTCAGCAGAAAAAACCAGCACTTCTGACTATATCAGAAAAGCAAATTAGTCAAATAGGAAAATAAATATTTTTATCCCTGAAATTTCCCTAGAGAACAGCATCTCTTATTAAACAAATGTTATTTTTTTATTTTGGGAAAGTTCTAAGTATTCCTTGTGCAGAGAACAATAGTTGGCTAAAAAACAGATCTCTAACTTATTTATTTAACACGTATTTGTTGCGTACTTACCATGGATAAGGTTTCTGCCAGGGACTGTTCTTGGCACGGGAGATACAGCAGTGAAGCAAAAAACAAAAGACAGATAAAAACCCCTGCCCTCGCAGGACTTATAGCCTGGCAAGGGGAGACAATAAAACAGAGAGGGGGAAAAGAATTGCACGCGTTGGGAGTGGAAGATGTGATAGGGCCAAGATCACAAGTTTAAAAGAGTGGTAAGGGAGGGCCTAGGAGGAAATTCCATCTGAGGAACTGATGGAGTGAGCCTCGTGGATATCTCTGGGAAGAACATTCTAGGCAAGAGGCAATAATAAGCACAAAGGCCTTGAGACAGGGCCATGGCTGGTGTTTCAGATTTTCTAGTAGCCTCCTTAAAAAAAGTAATAAGTGGGGCTGGCCCCGTGGCCGAGTGGTTAAGTTCGCGCGCTCCACTGCAGGCGGCCCAGTGTTTCATTGGTTCGAATCCTGGGCGCGGACATGGCACTGCTCATCAAGCCACGCTGAGGCAGTGTCCCACATGCCACAACTAGAAGGACCCACAACGAAGAATATACAACTATGTACTGGGGGGCTTTGGGGAGAAAAAGGAGAAAATTAAAAAAAAAATCTTAAAAAAAAAGTAATAAGAACAGGGGAAGTTAACTTTAATAATATATTTTATTTAACCTGATATAGCCAAAATATTTCTACTTATAATCAATAAAAAGTTATTAATATTTTACATTCTTTTTTTCATACTAAATCTTTGAAATCCTCCAATGTGTATTTTATACTTACAGCACATCTCAATTCAGATTAATGACATTACAAGGGCTCCATAGCCACACTTGGCTAGTGGCTACCATATTGGAAAATGCAAGTCTATGTTTCCCCAGTTGTCCCAGTAATACCCTTTTATAGCATATACATACAAACACACTCACACACATGCATGCACACCCCTCTGGACACAGGATCCAACCATAGATTTCATGTTTAATTTAGTTGTCATGTCTCTTCAGCCTCTTTTAATCTAGAACACTACCTGCCCCTCCTCCTTTTTTTAAACTTCCACACCTTAATATATTTGAAGAATATAGGCGAGTACATTTTGTAGAATCTTTCAAATTTAGAGAGGGAGTCCAAATTTCCGCTTTGAAAGTAGAGCTAAAAGGATTTGTTGATAAGTTGGAAATGAGATGTGAGACAGATAAAAGCCAAGGATGATCCCATCATTTCAGCCTGAACAACTGGCAGGATGGAATACCATCCTCCAAGATAAACTGAGAAGCGGCAGGTTTAGAAAGGAAGCTCAGGAATTCTGTTTTGACATTTTCAGTTTGAAAAGCCTCTTAGACAACCAAATAGAGATAGCAATTTGGTGATTGAATGCGATTGATGTGTTGGAGTTCAAGTGAGAAATCCAGTTAAAAATATAAAATTGGGAATCTTCAGCATATGGATGGTATTTAAAGCCATGAGACTGGTTTATTTCATCTAGGAAGTATAGATAGAGAAAAAGGATACAAGGACGGAGCCTTGGGACATTCCAATATTTAGAGGTCATAAAGAAGAGGGGGGGCCATCAAAGGAAAATGAAGAGTGACCAGTAGGAGAAAAATCAAGAGTTTGCCATCTTAGAAGCTAGATGAAAAAAGTGTTTCAAGGAGAAAGGAGTGTCAAATGCTGAAGACTGAGAAATGGATTCAGCAGGATGAAGGTCATCTGTGACCCAGACAAGCAATTTCGGTAGACTCGTGGGGTTGAAATCCTATTGGGAGTATATCCAAGAGAGAATGAAGGAACAAATGAAACAGCAAGTATGGCAACTCTTTGAAGAGTTATTGTATAAAGGGGAGCAGAAAAATGAATGTGCAATAACTGGGGGGAGAAGCTACATGCGGTCAGGAGAATGTTTTATTTTTTTCATGAGAAAAAGTATAGCATGCTTGATGATGCAAAGGATCCAGCTGAGATGGAAAAATTAGTAAGGCAAAAGAAGAATTGTAGTGCGATGTCCGTAGAGTGGGGCGAGAGGGGTTGGTTGAAATCTACTGCATAAATGAAGAGGGCATCCGAAATAACAGGAAGAAAGTCAGAGTACGTGGGCACAGATGGAGATAGGTCAGTGGAAGCGATGGCAAGAGCTATGGAAGTTCTTTTTTTGGTTGCTTCTATTTCCTCAGCATAATAGGATAAATATAGGAAATCTACAATGTAGAGAAAAACTCTGACTACTTAACAAATAGGAAGAATAGGCATAATACTATGAAAGATCAATGGAAAGAAATTTAGTACATGTAGGAATAGTCAAAGTAGAATGGGCAAGTTTCTAGTAGACAGGAGTGAGTTTAGTGTGTGTCAGGGGAAACCAGTTTACTTTGAGATTTTTGTGCTCCAGAGAAGCAAAAGTAACTTGGTTTAGTCAAATCGTAGAAGGCCTTTGATGCCAGGATGAAGAATTTAGGCATACATTGCTTCCCCCTGACTTGTGTATTCCAATCTACAGTGTTGCCAAGTGATGAATTCCAGAATTCTCAACTATTAACTTCTGTGACTGCCTGTAGTGTTAGTGAAGCACCATTGGCCTTTTTACACAATGGTTAAGATCCTCGCTTATTTTATGAAATGTGGGACTCAAATTTATGAGTATTTTGTGAGGCTGTATCAGCACCTCCGGAAATTCTGGATTGTCACTGCTAAGAGGCTTTTCATTAAGCAGAAGGAAGAAGAACATATCCCTCCAGCTGAGAGCATTTTTCACAAAGAAAAAATTTTACTACTTGGCCGTAGGTTGAAGAATAATTCTCTGTCCATTGAGAAGAGAGCTCAAGCTGCCTACAGAATCGGACTATTGGCCTTCACAGGTACTGATTTAACTAGCTGTGCTAACACAGGTGTTTCAAAATCTTTGTGCTTGTCATAACGCTGTAAATTAGTGATTTTCATAGTACTAGTCTTAAAATTCCAATAACATTTTCTTTGCTTAAATTATGAGTTTTTTTGTCGTTGCACCACCAAAGATATTACTAATTATTTTCTCCTCAAGGATCTCACATTTTAAAAGAATGTGTCCATCAAATAAACTACTATTTTCCTGCCTTTATCAATTAAATGTCTATACTGAAATTGGTTATCAAAATTCTCATGATCATAAAAAAATCAATGAATCTATACTGAGTTGATATAATTCCAATGTAGTGATGTGATTCCAATACAGAGTAAAACTACTTGGTATTTATTTTTTATCTTGTAAAAATACAGAAAACGCAGAAAATAGCTTAGAAAAATCAACAAGAACTTACTGTTCTTAAAACACCTACCAGGAAAGCCAACAGGTGCCTCAGTTGAAAGCAACTGTTAATGTATGCTTGGCTAGAAAATTAAGTGGTAAACTGTTTAAACACATACCACTCTAACGATTGTCAAGTCCAGGCTCACTCCACTTTTTTCATCTAATAAATTTCAGGATATGTAATGAAATTTTATAGATAGACCTCAACAACACGTCTCCTATTTAGAACCTCTGGCTGGTAGCTATAAGTGTCATAGATGGATTGACCTTTTTTTCTTTTCAGTGGGAAAATGAGTTATTTAGATGTAGTTTGATAGACTAAATCTTTCAAAGAATGGCGCCCATGAGAAAAAAACATTTACTGTTTTCAAGGATGAAGGGGTCCTAGGTGCCAGAATAGTTGAGAATCCCTGGTGTAGAGCTGGAGAGAAGATAGGAAACTCAAGAGAATTCCCACATCAAGGAAGGGTAAATGGCGCCCACCAGATGAGGCAGACTCAGTTCGTTGTATAGTTGCATTCACCATTTGGGGGAAGAGCTAGCTAATTATAAAAGGCTTAGAATCCTTTAATTTGATGCTGTTTAGCCTTAGCTGTGCTGATGGGAAGCAAGGGAAAGGGTTTATGCCCAGGCTTCAGCTAAAGCTTTAATGTTGAATAGAATATTCTTGGACCATGGGACTGTGGTTGTGCAAGTAAGACAAATCCAAGCTGGGTCAAAACTTCAGTGGCTAGAATCCAGTCAACTATGCCAGCTACTCCTCACCATCTAGTCTTCATCCAATGCCTTCTTGGCTAGTACCTTCTTGGAGTTTGAGATTTGAACTAGGAAGATCTGGGATTCAGGTATATGATGAAAGTAAAGTCTAGGATCAGATTGGGTCAGTAGCCAAAGCAAGGAAAACCTTGTAGGGTCGCATTGGTCTCAGATCTGCAAAAGAGTCCGGCTGAGAAAGGAGAACGGGATAGCAATGAACAACTCATGAAAAACTTCTCTCTCACCACTTGGCTCCTGGCTTTGCAGCTCAGGCTTTTGGTTTTCTCTTTGTTTGCTCTAATGTTCTGGTATTTCTTCAAGTACTGAAGACAGAGAATCAGGAATGGGACCAGGAGAGAGATGTGTTAAGTGAACACAGCCAGATTTTAATCACCGTGAAATACTGATTCCTAGGTGCTTGATTAAAGGAACCGGTAAGGAGCCTTTCGCAGGCAGGAACCTTCCAGTGCTTTTCATATTACTCCTTACTTTCACATTACTACACACACTTTCTTCTTCACAGCAGCACACGAGGTGGGGACAAAGAGGAAAATTCAAAGTATCCAAAATGTCAGGTATATAGCAACAAGAATGTAAACACATGGGCTCTCGAATGTCATTAGCTACTAGATATACCAAATACTTCTGGAAATGCAAATACTTGTTTTACAGGGGGACCAACTGCTGGGAAATTTGCAGCTGAGCACATGCAAGAAGTAGCCCAGTTGTTACAAAATCATGAGATGACACCAAAAACAAAGATCCTGCTGCTCCAGAGTGTAGCCTGTTGGTGTTACTTAAACCCTGCCAGCCAGAGAAGAGCCAGACATCTGCAGTTTATTCCTATTCTCATCAGTGTTTTGAAAAGCAGATGTGAGTCTACTATCAAAAGTGAAATAAACAGCCACCTCTGTGTGAAATTTTGGACTTGCTATGTTCTCTCCGTCATGACATGCAATAGCTCGTCTTGCATGAAGGAGCTTGGAGACCACAGCACTCTAAAATATGATTTGCAAATTTTGGCTGCTGAGAATTGGTCCGGATGGCCTGAGAATTTTGCAGAGGTGCTGTATTTCCTAATTGGTTTCCACAAGAGTTAATCTCTCTAAATCCAGTTACGCGATGCAGCTGTCTGCACCATTGCCTTACTCTGGAAAACTGAAATAAATAGTAAAAGTCGATATATTATTCTTCCGGGTTTTCTTTCAGGTAGTCGAAAAATTCTACATAAGTTTTCATAGTTACTGCAAGAACCGAACTTATGAAAAGCACTGCTGTTTAAAATGACCTCATAAAATTAAGTTCATAAAATGGGAATTCATTGGAAGACGCATTACCTGTACAAATGTTAGGAGCAGTGGTTGTTTTGGGGGTTATTAGATGACATTAAGCCAAGGCATCCAGAAAGACCAAATCCTAACCCAACCCCCAGCCGTCACCCCCTGTAGTGACCACTGCTGCCCCACCCGCATTCTCCATCCCTAACTATTTCAGTGCCAGCCTTCCAGCTGCCATGTCCTTTGCCGAGGTGCTTTTCTGGCTACCAGAACATGATCTTGTTGCACATGGGCCGACTGGAAGTGCAAGGAATGGACATTCATAGCACCAGCCCTCAACTCCACTGGCACAACTCCAGATGGAGACAGAGTGCCACGTGTTCAGACACCTAAAGACAGACTAAAGTTAGACTCTTGGGTTTTCATACAAATTTTCACTCTCCTTATTTTGTCTATTAGAGAATACGTAACCAAAAACCTACATTTGACTTTTGTGTTGCCCAGCCTCATCAAAAGCTTTATTACAAAAAACAATATTTATGGAAAAGTGCCTGCAGGGTATGTACCTATTTGTTTCTCTAACTACACTAACATTTGTCTCTAGCTTCAGCTGCAGCCATCGTAGGTTGAACTTTCATATTTCATCTTTCACAGACTTGCTTTGACTGAGCTGTGCTGTAGTGTCATGCTTCCGTCTTTCACTGAGGGGTCCATTTAAAAAGTAGTGTAGTTCCATAGTCCTTGCTTGTGTTTATTGCAGGAATGTTGTTAGGGATGCTAATCACACGACATGGTTTCATGAGGATCTCGGGAGAAATTTTCTCAGACCTTAAACCAGGAAAATCTGTGTTCTTCTCAGCAACCGAATATTTTCATCCTTCGTGGATTTTGTGAATTGTGTAATGCAGAGTTTCTCAAACTAGAATGCAGTTTATAGTGGTAGATGAAGGGTTGGGAATCAGAAGTCCCATTTAGAGGCTGGTTCATGGTCAGAAATTACTTTTTAAACATGTTTTTTAAATTAAATTTTAATTTTTTCTCAAAGTAATACATGAACATAGTTTAAAAAGTCAAATAATGTACGGAATCTGATGAGAAACAGCCGCCCCCAAGCCCCGTCCTGATTCACTCTCAGAGGTAACCATTTGAATTCTTTTGGCTATTTCTTGTTTATTTACCTCCACATTTCTAAATAGTTCACGTACATTGCTATTTTTTTTTTTCAATTTTAGGTATTTTCCTTTTTACTTAATGTGACACATAGGACTTAGGATTTTAACACTGCCCCTTGCCTACATCCACTTGCCCACTTCTTCCTCTCTCAACATAATTGTGTCACAATTGTTGCTTAAAACAATATGAGTATTTCAATATTTTTCATGGCTAAGTCATATCATGTAGTATAATTTCCTTCTTTGTATAACTCTTCGTTTTTCCTGGAGTTTCATTTGGTTTTGTTTTTCGCTTAGTTTTCTGGATATCTATCTCTAATTTATTCCCACTCTTTCCTCTATAGCTGTTTAACAACTCCCAATGCGGTTACACATCAAGTACGTAATTGTCAGCTCCGATTTCTTCTTGAAGTGAGCCCACCGTCATGGAACCCACCACCCTCTTGTTCCAATCTGGGCCTGCCACACACCTAACAAATACTTTAGGGGTTCCCTTCAACATCCAGGAATCCCCTTACCCCTCCCATGTTGGACCCTCTGTTTCCTGTATACTATCACTTCGCTTCACTCCCACATTTGAATTTGAAGCAGGTTTTCCAGTAGTTTCCTGAGAAAGAATGAATAGGAGGTAAATTTGTGGAGATCTCACATGTCCAACAATGTCTCTATTCATTTGACTTCAGCCTGCCCTTGACCCTGGAGGGGCAGCAGAGGACACCAATGCCCCGTGTGTGCCCTCACTCCCCAGAAAAAGAGAACAGAGTTGACCACATTCAGTTTATTTTTCCCAAAGCTACCAATCAGGTAAGTCACTCACCTCGGCCAAAACCAGGAGTGTTACAGCTATTGGAGCTTCCTACTCCTGGAAGAAAACATCAGATTTGGAAAAGCAGCAGCTTTTTCTGTATCTTTCCAGAGTTATTCTATCTTTATGCAAGAAAATATACATATATCCCTTTTCTCACTCCTTTTGGGTTTTTTTATTTTTTGTTTTGTTTTGGTGTGTGTGTGAGGAAGATTCGCCCTGAGCTAACATCTGTGCCAATCTTCCTCTATTTTGTGTGTGGGTCACCACCACAGCATGGCAGATGAGTGGTATAGGTCCATGCCTTTGATCCAAACCTGTGAACCCACGGAAGCTGAAGCGGAGAGTGCTGAATTCAACCACTAGGCCATGGGGCCGGCCCCCAGTACTTTTTGTTTTAACATATGGTAGCATTTTGTACACACCAATACTTTATCTTGGTTTTGGTTTTCTCTCTTAAAGAGTTTATGCATTCTTTTCTTCTGTTTTAGAGGATTCCATTGTATGACTGTACTATAATTTATGTAACCAGTCCTGTGGTGTGGACATTTAGATTATTTCCAGTCTTTTGATAGTTCAAAGTTGTAATGAATAACCTTAAATACATGTCATTTCACACATGTGAATATATCCATGGAGTAATTTCTATAAATGGAATTGTTTAGCAATACTTAGTTTTTTGTTTTTTTCTTCTGTGCCCTGCATTGTCACTTTTCTCTCATCTTGACTCTTCAGCTTTCTTCATCAGTGTGGGATTATGTCTTTCACAGTTTATTGTCATTTTAAAGGGGTCTAGGAGAGAGAAGAACTAAATGGCCGTGTTCGATTAACATGTTTAACCAGAAATTGCTAAGGCCTCTCCTCAGAGACTGTTTGGTTAACATTTTAACAACAGAAGAGTAGCTTCTAAGGCAGCCTAGCTATATTATTCTATATTATTTTATTCAAATTCTTTTTGGTCTCTGGGACATCTCCAAATTGAAGGTGGTAAAATATAAGGCTCAGATTTGGGCCTTGAGGCATTGTTATGCCAAGCTTTAAATTTAAAACTGCTTTACTAAAGCTTTAACAACAGATGGCTACTTTCCCTTCCTTTGTTGTCCCTTATAACTTCATCCCTCCCCAATATTTGGCTTCTCCCAGAAGCAAATCTGAGATAAGAATTTGAGTGCAAGGACTTTATTTGGGAGGTGATCTCAGGAACTAGCAACAGGGAAGGGAAGAAAGCCGATAAAAGATGAGTTGTCAAGAAAGTTACCACTGTAAGTAAACAGAACCTGTAACCCTGTTGAGGAACCATTCTGGTAAATACACAATACACACGCCTCAGTTATCCCACCCAGAGGTCCCAGGAGCTCAGATATTTATACACCAATTCCTATCCTTTTTGGTTGACCTAATGATCTAATTAGCTAAAACCTAAAATTCAACGGAGATATCTTGAAAGGGGCAGGGTAGGCAGGGAGCAGTTTTCTAAACAAAGCAAAGAGAAGTTTTTTATTTTTTGAAGTCAGATTTACTTACATAATTTGTGCTTTTTGTGTCCTATTTGAGAAATCTTTGCCAAATCCAAGGTCATGAATATTTTTTCCCATATTCTCTTCTAGAAGATTTTTAGCTCTTAAATTTTAAAGTCCTCTTCAATTCCTTCTCCTCTTTTGCTCTCCATCACTAAATCCTGGCAATCCATTTTTGGCATTTTCCAGAAATACTTTCTATTTGCCAAGTCTTGTCGTCTATTTAGCTCTCCTCTTTCTTACTCATTCCAACAGCGTCTTAGCTGATTTCCCTCTCCCTGTAACCCAGAACATTAAAATTTTTTTCTTTTTTTTTTGGTGAGGAAGATATGCCCTGAGCTAACATCTGTGCCAATCTCCTCTATTTTGTATATGGGACACCACCACAGCACAGCTTGATGAGCAGTGTGTAGGTCTGTGCCCAGGATCTGAACCTGCGAACCTTTGGCTGCCAAAGTGGAGCGTGCAAACTTAACCACTATGCCGCTGGGCTGTCACCCTAATTCTTTTATTTTTTATTGTGGTAAAAACACATAACATAAAATTTATCTGTTCTTCTTTAATTCTATCTTTAGGCTAGTGGTCCATACCTGAAACATACAGAGCTGCACTGTCTAATACAGTAGCCACTAACCTCATGTAGCTATTTAACTATAAGTTAAAATTTCAATTCATCATTCATACTAGCCCATTTCAAGTGCTCAACAGCCACATACAGCTAGGTGGTTATCATCCTGGACAGCACAGATAGTTCCAACATTTCAGAAGGTTTTACTGGACAATGTTGCTATTGATTAATAATAGCTTCCATTTATTAAGCATTTTGTTCAGACACTGTAGTTAAAGATTTTGATCCCCACAGTAACAGAGGCAAACTTTATCTCAATATCAGAAGAAAATTAAAGTTCTCTAAGAATAAATAACTTGCCTAAAGTAATCCTTTAAAGATTGACATTGCTCTTTATTGCCGATTTATACAAAGGTACTTGTATGCTTCTCACAGAACATACTCAATCCCAATGCTATATACTTTGCAAATAACTTCCCTTTATTTTGTTCCTTTCTTCCTTCAGAACAGTACATACAGGAAATCCCTAATTTCACCCTAATTGTACTTATTATTCCTTCAATATATATACTTTGTCCTATACATATGTGAAATGTGTGAATAGAAAGTTTCAGAATGCTTAGCTATCCCTGTGTCTCTTAACTGGACTTTGACCTGCCCCCTACTTTGCTTCTCTAGAGGACCAGCTCCATCCCCCATCTTTTTAAGCCTCCAAGAAGAGTCTGATCATACCAGCCAGTCAAGCCTTTACCTGGGTAATCAGTTTCCCTCAGGAAGCTTTTGAAATTAGATTCTCACACTCCATTACAAAAACTACTTGGAAAGAATATCCGGACATGGGGATCTGAAAATCAAGTCCCTACAATGAGCTTAAGGTACCATCAGGTTTGAGAGTAAAACCTCAACTATTTCAGTCTAAAGATGGATAAATTCATCTTCTCCTTGTTTCCTCCCAGATAGCAGAGGAATAGAAAATAATATAAAACCATAGAAATAGATAAATTTTCAACACAGACTCGTTATACTTCATTTGCCAAGATGCACACAATGGTCAATAGGAGACTGAAGTTTATTTATCATATATGCAAGTCATATCTGACAAATGAGAAAACACTATTTACATAAAACATCATAGATTAAAAATACATAGTATTTGTATTTTAATACAATAACAGGGTCCCAGGATTTAAACAAGGAAGTACGATTCCAAATTTGCATTATATAGTTATTTGCTCTGCTACAAAGAACTATAGTGGAGGTAAACTTCGGCAGTATATTTCTCAAGAGTCAACTATTAACGAATTTCATATACATGGTTTTGCATCTGTAGAGGAAGATACAATTTCTTCAGCACATGTGGCGATTTCTGAGTCTTCCACTTCAGAATCCTCACCAGTTTCCTCTTCAGAATCAAATTCCTGACTATCCGGCGATTCAAAGTTATCCAGAGGTTCACCATTCAGCCTCTTTTAAAGGAAAAAACAACAATTTATTGTAAAAACTTTAAAACCCAAGTCCATTCTCAGTATGCTGATATAACTGACCCTCAATGTTGTACGAGGTCCTTTTCATAACGTCTCTCAAATTCACTTACAAACAATCAGTTATATCAGTCTCTCCATCACGCTAGATCCTATTTCAGCCAAGTCACAGTGCTTAATAATTTGCTCATTTTTTTAAAGCACTGACCTGCTTTCAGAGTACAGCTGAAATCAGTACTTCTCAAACTATGACACTGAAGGACCAGGTTTTCTAATTTCCATCCGCTGTGGGGCAACACTTTTACGGCAGTTAAGAGAACTACGACAGTAATTCCCAATGAAAACTTTAAGCACTAATTCTGTCACGGCTCTAAAATGTAAGCCATTCAGTACAAAAAAAGTTTTGATTTGAAAAACTTTCTATCAGCAAGATGATTTTTCTGCAAACATGAGTAAGTTTAGGACCTATTTTTTAGGCCAAGAGTGGTAAAGTAACAGTTTCAGGCTAATTCTTAGAAACACACTAACTACTTCCAAATTAAAAAAAAAAGTTAGATAAGGCCACCAAACTTATTTAGTACACCAATTAAATTTTATAAATGAAAGTAATGTCACGCTGGCATTACAGTTAAATTAAAAACTGTCTAAAAATTTGTTAACTGTGAAATTAAATTTTTCTATTTTTCAGGTATGTTAATTCCTTTTTATACTTCTACAAGAAAACAGATGTTCTTTAGATGCTCTTCTGCTTCATAATAATAAAGAATACTATCTAACAGTTATTGGGCTCTTACTATGTGCAGGCACTTCTCTCATCTATTATAACTCGTTATTCTCATAATGAGCCTACAAAGCAGGTACTATTACTCCCATTTTACAGATGAGGAAAATGAAGCCGTGACAGGATAAATAAGCTGCTTGACTCAGCAAACTTAGTGGTGCTGGGCAGGGAGCTGAGACTCAAGGCCAGGAAATCTGATTCCAGAACCCAAACACTTACTGATCACACGTCTGCCTCAATACCATAGACAAATAGATGATTCTGAATCAGGTGCAGGTTCAAACACGTACCTCTATCACCTCTGCCATATACTGCACGTGTTCTGCTACTTCTGCCAATTCTCTATTCTCCTTTTTCAGGCGGGCAATTTCATTATCCTTTTGTTCAATTTCTTTATGAAGCTATACAACAGAAATAAAGTCAGTTTTCCATACATTTGCTATGCTATAAACCAAATTATACGTTCCAAGTACATAACTGGTAGACATTTAGCACAAAGTTCCTAACAAAGGCGCTATCTTTGTCTCTCAACACAACAGGCTTCTTGTGTACAAGAACTCTGGTCATGAAGTTGCCCTTCTAATTAAACTTTTCTTAGACCAATATTAACACTAGTTTGTATTGCTCTAACTAAATATGCTCAGCAGTAGAAGGAAAATCATCTTGGAATGTTAAAAAATGCCACAGATGATTTTCGGTACATACTTTCTCATTTTCCTTAAGTGCTTCATAGAGAGCCTTCCTCCGTTTCTCTGCCACTTCTTTCCAATATTGAGAGGATGGATTTTCTGAAACAAATTAATGTTTTACATGTCACTTTGAAAATCATTACTGTTACATGCTGCTGTAAAAACCCAGTAATTTTTTTTATCTAAAAACAATTTACAGGGGCCGCCCCGTGGTGCAGTGGTTAAGTTCACACATTCCGCTTTGGTGGCCTGGGGTTCACAAGTTCAGATCCCAGGCGCAGACCTAGCGCCACTTGTCAAGCTGTGCTGTGGCAGCATCCCACATAAAATAGAGGAAGATTGGCACAGATGTTAGCTCACTGACAATCTTCCTCAAGCAAAAAGAGGAAGATTGGCAACAGATGTTAGCTCAAGGTGAATCTTCCTCAGCAAGCAAGCAAGCACGCAAATAAAAACAATTTACAATCTTTCTCAGTACTACCCATTTTACTTAGTAGTACCCATTTTTAAAAGGTTGAATTCAGAAAAGCAAATCAATGTTTTTCTATTTTTCCCAACATTTTAAAGATTTCAACCCTTCAAAAGAACCGCAACACAAATAAATACACATATATCTTTCAGCTAGATTGTTAAAGATGTTTGTAACATGTGCTTTGTGTGTTTGTGTTTTTTTTTAACATTGACTTTTTTTTTAATTTAAGATTTTATTTTTTCCTTTTTCTCCCCAAAGCCCCCCAGTACATAGTTGTATATTCTTCGTTGTGGGTCCCTCCAGTTGTGGTATGTGGGACACTGCCTCAGCGTGGTTTGATGAGCAGCGCCATGTCCGTGCCCAGGATTTGAACTGACGAAACACTGGGCCGCCTGAAGCGGAGTGTGCAAACCTAACCACTCGGCCATGGGGCCAGCCCCCTAACACTGACATTTTTGAAAAGTCCTGATCAGTTATTCTGTACAACATCCTTAAACTTGGATTTGTCTGTTTCCGTGATTAGATTCAAGCTAAACATTTTTGACAGGAATATTGTCTATGTTGTATCCTTCTCAGTGTATCAACTTTAAGGTAAAAATTATATATGCATTTTTTCATACCTGTAATCATAAGATCAAATGCTTCTTGGGTAACACCTCCAGGACTTTTATTTTCACTGTGTTCTGGGACAATAACAACTCCTGAGCTGGAAGTCTTAGATGTTAACTGGTCCTTCCGATGTTTCCTTTTAGACAAGACTTTCACCAACTATAATGGCAATACGTACATTAATCTCATTTACTTTGATTTAATGAAGAAGAAAGCTGAGTGGTTTTATCACTTACGTATTAAAAATAGAGCACTTATATGTCTATAGCATTTTGACACCTTGGATCTTTTAAAAAGTCCCACAATTCAGGACTCTACCAAAATGTACAGCTATATTTTAGAAATTTTATTTGCAACAACTATTTTGGATTAGACTTGGATCTAGGACTTAGCTGAAATTCTCTTTATTGTTTAAATAATTCAGTACCATGGAAAGGCAATATTTTCAACCTATAAAAATCTAGACACTCTCATCCATGATTTCATCCTTTACATACAGGGGTAAATGAATGAATCGAACATTTTACTCTCAAAACATCAAAGTAGGTTAGGATTGACTACATCATTCCAGTTCTGCTCCATCTATTCATACCAATTTTGAACTTCTTAAATTGAACAATTAAAAGAAAAAGCAGTTATTTGGGGAATACGCAATTGCTATTCTTAAATTATTTCCAAATTTCAATGATTTAGGTATTCCTGACCAAGGAAATCTTGGAAGTGTTTTTAATGTAAAGGTAGTGTCATCTCCACCCCTTTCTAGCCCAATGACACATACCTCATTTTCTCTTCCAACAAGAGATCCAGCTGCAGAAGGCTGAATCATCTTCAGAGTTCTTCTTGGGATAGGACTATTCTGAAAGTCAAGATAATTCATTACCTGGTTACTGAGTTTCTATATGATTATCTGGTTCCTGAGTTGCTATATGGATGGTTACTCTCTTAGTCCTACTATAATTTAGAAAAAAAGAAACACTAAGAACGGTAATATTTGGTCTGCTATATAATTTTATAATGCTCCATATGAACAAGAATTGGTTTAATCTACTAACAATCTGGTTATTTCCCTAAAATTATAATACAGTTTGAAGAAATGCTAAGAATGGATCTTTCACCCAAATGTGACACAAACAAGCTGCTTTTCTCCTATAGCAATATATGCTCTTGCTCTAGTCGTTTTATCAACTAATTGTATCTAGTTAAAACAAAAATGTAACAAAATTTCTAAGCTCTAACACTTCAAACCATATGTAATGAAATTCCAGTATAACAGGAATATTTGCATTCCCTCTTAAAAGGATCTTCCACACAGAAACTTTACCAAACATAACCTTTATGGTAGAAACCCAGAACACAGGTAAACTGGGAGAAAAGGTTAATTACTTACACTGCAATACTTCTTCCCTAATCAGAAGGATTCATCTCAGATTTCCTTTAAATGTGAATATTCCCTAACACATTTCTACATATTCACCATAGGAACATAATTTTCAAGAACATACTTTACACAAAACCAAATACACACACAATAGGACCTCCTCCCTCTGAAATCTTTACGTCATTGTAGAAGCAGTTTTGCTTCAAGCCCATTCATTGGGAGACAGCTAAAATGTCAGTGCTTGCGGCCTACTAAAATACTGTAAAATGCCCAGGCTATTGTTTTGGAAAAACTATTGCCTTCCTTACAATATGTAAAAACCTTCCTGTCTATTTCCTGATCCGAAAGCTCTATTTCTGCAAAAATCATTAATTATACTGCCACCATGGGATAGCAAACAATGGTGAATACTCAAACAAGGTTAGCGAGAACACGACACCAAAGCAGCGTGAGAAAGTCACTGATTCCACACTGTACTTCACATGACAAGAGTTCACCTTTCCCACGGTAAAGTTTCCGCTGCTGATTATTATCTCACTATTTAACCAAAGAACAAATGCCAGCTCCTGGGAGAACAAATATTACATCAACTTTTCAGATATAATTTAGATTATAGATTAGTCAACAGTCTCCAGACAAACAGAAGAAAATATAACTTTGGAACCTTAATAATAGGTGCTAATTTATTTAAATGTTGCTACTAATAATGGCCAAAAAAGCCAGCTAAATTACTGTCACAAAAAACCGACAATTTCCAAGATTTAACTTTTATATATGTAAGCTTTATAGCATTCAGCCCCAAAAATGTAACATCGCTATTACCATTTTCTTTCTACAGATCATGTATTGGAATTATAGACTCTTTAGAGTCAAAATGGTTCTTATATATTAATGGGTCTTAATCTTTTTAGAAAACAATTTGAGATTCTCTGAAACCTTGCAAAAAAAAAAAAAAAAAGCACACAAGAGCATACTCATAACAGAATTTTGCAAACAACTGGCAAGAAATCCACGAACTCCTAGAATTCACTCTTACAGATCTAGTTTTAGTTAAATTCCTCATTTTACAGATGAGTAAACTGAGAAAGAGATGCTAAATAACTCACCCAAGGTCAGTTTTAGAGGCAGAACCAAACAGAACTCAGGTCCTTTTATATCCAAGATAGTTTTAATCTAGCTAGTAAACATTAGACTTTTCTTTAAATGTAAGGATCTGCTGAAATTATATAAATTATTTGTCTGAGATTTGCTTCAAAATAATTAAGTGAGGGGGAAAAAGGAGTGAATGGAGATGTAGATGAAACAAGATTGGCTATATATTGATAACTGTAGAAAATGGGGAAGTTAATTGAGATTATTACACTATTGACTATTTTTGAATATTTGAAAATTTTCATAATAAAAAGTTTAAGCACACACAAAGCACAATGGAAAAACATCATCATCCTAAATGGAAACTCAAATTCAAAAAGTATCAATGCAAAGTATTATTCAAGAAAAATTATGTAAGGAGGATAGGGAGGTAAGGCGAGACAACCACAATAACCTACCAAAAAGCACCTGCGATCACTTTGAAAGGCTTTTATTTCCTCTATTTAATTTAAACCTGCAAACTGATACAGTTTTCCTGAAGATGTGGTCTCATTCCTAGGAATCGTCATATTGTCTAAGTTGTATGGTAGAACCTAGTTAAAATGTAAATTCATTTAGAACCTTAGGAGTGGAGCCAGTCAAAATTACAAATTCAAAATTAAACAAACTGTGTCTTTATCGTTCTAAGAATAAATATTTGGGATAAGATTTTCCAGTGACAGTATCATACAGGGACTCAAAAAGTACAGCCACACAAGCAGGTTAGGTGGTAACGAGTATGATGCACTCTAGAAATATGTGCAACATAATGCACAACGTGTCTCCATAGTCAAAGACACTAATTCTGAAGATAGACACAAAGGATTTTAATAAAATTATTTCATGCAATGTAAGAGTAGAAAGAAAGCAATAATCTTGCTTACGGAAAATGCTAAGGAGTCTACTAAAAAACTAATAGAACTAATAAACAAATTCAGCAACGTTACAGGATACAAGATCAAGATACAAAAATCAACTGTATTTCTAACACTAGCAATGAGCATACCAAAAATTTAACAAAGGAAACAATTCCATCTACAATAGCATTAGAAACAAAATACTTAGGAAAAAATTTAACAACAGGAGTGTGAAACCCAATACTCTGAAAACCACAAAACATAGTTGAAAGAAATTAAAGACCTAAATAAATGGAAAGATGCCTTACATTTATGAATCAGAAAGCTTAATATTCAATCATAACTAGTTTTTTAAAAGTTCTCTATTGTCACTTGTCCTCTGGCTAAAAAGTCAGTAAATCAAGTTGATACAAACTACAGCCAGGTTAAATTTGGCCAAATTATGTCAAAATACTTCCAACTGCGTGCTTTCTACAACAGATTAAAGTGATTCTATCACATACCTTCACATTCTCTTGGATTCCTTCCTGTTTCTGCTTCATACTGGGATTCATCATACACCTGGTGAAGCAGAAAAGACTAGTAGTTCAAAAACAGAATATGGTTTGCACATGAAGGTGGAGTCTAACTTTTGTTGAAAGTACTTACAATCATAAAAATCATACTACTGTATGGCAGAACTACGATCTTTGTTCACGGTACCCAAACTCAGCCATGTCGATGAATGACTATAGTGGCTCTCTATTTTATATATACACACACACAATAATTCTGGTCATAAAAACTCTTGTTACAAAAGGAAAATTATACATTCTAACTATTTACAAAACTCGAGGGTGTTCTGGATTAAATACAGGGCTCTCAGAGATCTGAGAGACCATCAGCAGGCAAAGTGAAACACAGAGACCTGGATATGCCCAAGTCTATCCTAAAGAAGAGCATCCTAACTCTGGTGTTTCAAAGGGGGATTTAAGACGTAACAAACTTGGCTCTGGTAACCAGCAATAACTTAACAGTGACGTAATATCCGATCAAAGGAGATGATGCATCTACATTTGTAGGGAATGTTTAACCCATCACCACGACCTGAGACACTGATGAAGCAAGGAAGAGGGATGGGATATGTTAGGTGGTGAACCAGACCACTGGGCCAACGTTTGAACGTTCTGTCTCCCAAAGAGATGCCCCAGATTCTTGTGGCCATGCCTTAACTCAGTGCAGCGGCTTTCAAACTTTGACTTTGACCCATCGCATGTTAATACATCTTACACTGTGCCCTAGCCAGCACGCAAGCAAAGAGTTTAGGAAACAAAACTTAATGGAACTGGATGATGCACTCTTTTTCTACTCTATTTCACGTTAAGCAAATGCTGATAGGGACCCCTAAGTTGAACCGGGGCAATGTTTTCCAAACCATTGGCTGGGTCACGAACATTGCCTAGAAAAACCTAAGTGAACAGAATGGAATCGAACAGAGGAGAAAACACCAGAGTGCATGGCATGCAAGGAATAAGTACTGCTTCGTGAAACTTCTACTTTAGTTGGATGGCTGCGTCCTAAATTGCGATGTCAAATGTGCTGTAGTATGTGTCACGATTAAAAAAAGTGGAAAGTCGCTGATGAAGTCTGATCCTTCACAAGTTGATGAACACTCCTGCGAGCAACCTGGCACCCTTACTTCTTATTCTCTAGTTCTTTTAAGCAACTAGATTAAAAACTCCAGCACAGGACTGGGTCCGAAGGAAATGGTGATAAACAGGTGAAACCAAGGTCACCAACACCAGTATCGGGTTTTTAATGGAAGACGCAGGATTCAGCGACCCTCGCCAGGAGCTCAGTTTGCGGACCGCCCCCCCCCCCCCCCCCCCCCCCCCCCCCCCCCTTCTGGTCAAGAGGGTGGACGTTCCGCTCATCCAGACAGCCAGGCATGCCCAGGCTGAGTCTCGCATCCACCAGCTGCAAACACCCCGCCCAGCCAGCTCGCCCTCCAGACTCGGACACACAGCTACCAACAAGGGGGCGGGCCGTCCGGTACCGCGCGCCCGGCCCTCCAACCGCGGCGCGCGCCTCAGCGACGGCGCCCACCAGCCAATGGGGAGCGCGGAAGGGAGAGCGCGCCAAAACCGACCCACCCAATGGGGAAGCCGCGTGCCTCGGCTCCCGCCCCCGCCCCGGCTCCCGCAACCGTTCAACACCCCACTCACCCTCACCCCGGCACCGGCCCGGCAGCTGTCACGGGAGTACGGGACTTCCGGCTGGCAGGAGCGAAAAGCGGCTTGTCTAGCAGTCCCTGCGTCCCCACCTCCTGCAGCCTGTCTCACACTTCCTGGATGGAAACGCTCAATCCTCGTAGCGAACGCAGGTAGCTGTAGCAGCAGCGCCTCTCACAAGGCCCACGGCCAGCGCGCTGTTGCACACAGCCGCCGGAGTGGCTGGCGCGCGCGGCTGTGAAAGCCTGCGAACTCCGCCCGCCTGCCCCAGACCGTCACGTCACCACGTGACGCGAGACGAGGGGTGGGGCCACCCGAATCCGGCGAATCGCCTCTCGCCTCCGCCCGCCTAGGCCCCGCCCCCTTGCTGCGCCTGCGCAGTAGGTGTAGCGTGTATTTGAGCTGGGTCATCCCGGGGTTTCTGCTGGCTCGGAGATAGGTGTCTTTGCCTCCTGCCTTCTGGCCCTGGGCTCGGAACTTCCCTTTATAATGGGGTGGAGTTTTTTGCCCTTTGCAAGGTGGAGGAGAAAGATCTGCTCAAACTAGACATAATCACCGGAAGAATAAAATATTGTATACGTGTATAGTACACGACTTGTTATATTTCTGTAAAGCCGTCTTCCGCGGACTCCTAGTTTTATTAAGAGCTTCTATATTTTGGCTTTTTGTGTTTGGGCTGTGTTGCGATTCCGTAGGAGTTCTGGAAGGCTTAATTCGGCCATCAATTAGTCTTGCAACTATTTGTTGACCGCCTGATAAGGACCAAGCACTGTTCTAGCGCTGTCGTTGCGATCTGAAGGAGCCGGGAAACCTTAGGAATAGCCTAGCTCTTTAGAAATTATTATTCTCATGGGGGCCGGCCGCCTGGCCGGGTGGTTAAGTTCACGCGCTCTGCTTGGGTGGTCCAGGGTTTCAGTGGTTCGGTTCCTGGGCGCAGACGTGGCGCCGCCCATCAGGCCATGCTGAGGCTGTGACCCACATGCCACCACTAGAAGGACCCACAACTAAAATAGACAACTATGTACTGGGGGGATTTGGGGAGAAAAAGCAGAAAAAAAAAAGATTGGCAACAGTTGTTAGGTGCCAATCTTTGGAAAAAAAATAAATTATTCTGCAAAATTCTCAAATAACTTTCTTTATGGGCATAATAATACATTTGGGGTTAACAGAGTCTTGTCCAATCTTTTGTTTACAACTGCAGTGGATATTAGCCAGCCTTGGTGGTCTAGTGTTTAAAATTGGAGGCTCACCACCATGGCCTGGGTTGTTTCTGCCCAGGGAAGCACGCTGTCCATCTGCCTGTTGTCAGATTGGTGGCTGCGTGTTGCTGTGATTATTTCAAATACCAGCAGGGTCACCCATGGTGGACAGGTTTCAGTGGAGCTTCCAGACTGAGACAGACTAGGAAGAAGGACCTGGCCACCCACTTCTGAAAAAATTGGCCATGAAAACCCTAGGAATAGCAGCAGAGTATTGGCTGGTACAGCGCCAGAAGGTGACAGGATGGTGCAAAAAGGCTGGGCCGAGTTGCCGTCTGCTGTACACAGGGTCTCTAGGAGTAGATTGTGGGCACTAACAACAAACCACAGATATTAATATGTCTGTTTTCCCATTTCTTAACTTTTCATGAGATTTTCATTCTCAGAGGAAAGGAAATTAACTCTACAGCACCAAATACTTTCTCATCTACATACCTTGCCACACTGAGTGCCCACCTCCTGCCACCTCTCTCACTGGATTTCTTTGTCACAAAGCTCAAAATGTACAAAGCATAATCACATTGGTTCTAGCTTTGTTTGGGGGAAATATAACTTATGAGATCTAAATTCATAAAGGAAACAATCCATTAATTGGAAAACTACCAGTAAAAGGCTGGGTTTCCAAAGTAAGAATTCTGGTGACCAGTGATAGGTATAACCGTTGTGTCATTTGGCTTTGAAACACCAGCCAGTCAGAATAGTAAATCTGACTTTCAGTTTCTTCAGTCAGCCACATGATAAAAAGGGATCACTGAAAAGAGCCAAAATGGCTAAGTATATATTCAAAAGTGTATAAAATGTTATATTCAGGTAGTCTGTACTAGGTAAACTATAAAGTTCATGTTCTTTCTTTCCAGAAGGAAAAAGCTAGGAAATAAAAATGTCTTCCATATGAAAATGGTAAGCAAACCAGAGGGGTAGAATCTCTAGGTTACCATAGTTCAAAAACTACAGAGGCAATAAGAGAACTGGTGATTTTCCAGACCGTGAGCCCACTTACCTGAATGTTATCTGTAGTTCCTAATAGTATTGGTTAGTTTTGAATAGTGTGGGGAGACTTTTACTTTATACATTTCAGTATTGTTTGACTTTTTTAAAATTCAACATACCAAAGAAGATGATACCTTCTTAAGGAAAAATTGTGACACCCTCATTTCACCAGTTTAGGTTAGATCCTTTCTGCTTTGCCTGCTAAATAATCAGCTGGTTTATGTGACAAATTAAATTCAGATCTATACCAGTTGGGTGGCCACTAGCCACATGATGTCTACTGAGCACTTGAAATGTGACTGGTCTTCATTGAAATGTGCTATAATGTAAAATACACACTGGATTTCAAAGGTTTAGTACGAAAAGAAGAATGCAAAACATTTCCATGATTTTTTGTATTGATTATATGTTGAAATGATACTTTGGATATACTGAGTTAAATACAAATATTGTTAAAATTAATTCCAGTTGTTTCTTTTTACTTTTTTTGATGTGGCTACCAGAAAAAAATTTAATTACAGATGTGGCTCCCATTTGTGTGTTGCACTATATTTCAATAGGACAGGCTGCTCTAAACTATCATAACATACGTTGCCCCACTGAATCCTCCCAGTAGCCCTGTGAGGTTGTTTCTACAAACTGAGATGCTAAATTACAGACCCAGGATCACACACAACTAGGCAGCAACAGACTGAGACTTCAGATCTTCTGACTCAAAGTTCACATGTGACAAAAGTGAGGTTCTGAAAATATTCCTCTCAGGAGACAGAAGATGCTCAAGCCCTCAAACTACTGGGAATGTCTCCAAAAATGTATGCTTTCATACTGCTTTTGAAGAACAAATTTATAAGGAAAACAATTTTGTAGGGATCTGGAAAAAGTTATAAGTAGTTGTCATTTAATCAGAATTTTTCTCTAGACATCCAAATATACTGTAGTCTTATCTGCAGTAAAGAAAACATGGGTATTAATAGGATTATGTTTCTGCAGTAATACTGGCTCAGGTATAATCCTTTAATTTAGTACAGTCTTACACTATACAACCTTAAAAAAATTTATGGGTGTTTTTCTGTAATCTTTCTTTCTTTTTTTTTTTTGAGGAAGATTAGCCCTGAGCTAACATCTGCTGCCAATCCTCCTCTTTTTGCTGAGGAAGCCTGGCCCTGAGCTAACATCCATGCCCATCTTCCTCTACTTTATACATGGGACACCTACCACAGCATGGCTTGCCAAGTGTTGCCATGTCCCCACCTGGGATCCCAACCAGTGAACCCCGGGCCACCATAAGCGGAATGCGTGAACTAAACCGCTGCGCCACTGGGCCGGCCCCAAACCCCAATTTCTTAAACCCAGACTATTTCTGAAAGGATTTGGTCGTGGAGAAAATTTTCACAAAATTCACAGTGGTAATTTTACAAAAGTTAATTGTTAAATAAATTTATACGATGAGAATGAGTTGCTGGCTACATAAGGAAGGGTAGATGTATTAGTCAGGGTTCTCCAGAGAAACAGCACCAATAGAAGAGTCAGGGCTGGCCCAGTGGCATGGGCCTGTCCCAGGCCTGTCTCCTTGGCTTGTAGGGGGCTATCTTTTCCCTATGCCTCTTCCCATCATCTGCCTTCTATATGTGTCTCTGTGTCCAAATTTCCCTTTTTGTAAGGACATCAGTCATATTGGATTAAGGTCTGCTATAGACTGAATGTTTATGTCCCTCCAAAATGTTGAAACCTAATCCCCGATATGATAGTATTTGGAGGTGGGGCCTTTGCGCAGTAATTAGATCATGAGGGTGGAGCCCTCATCAGTTGGATCAGTGACCCTATAAAAAAGAGACCCCAGAGAGTTCCCACATCCCTTCCACCATGTCAGGACACAGTGAGGAGATGGCCATTTACGAACCAAGAAGCAGGCCTTCACCGGACAGAATCCGCCAGCGCCTTGATCTTGGACTTCCCAGCCTGCAGAACTGTGAGAAATAAGTGTTCGTTGTTTAGACCACCCAGTCTCTGCTATTTTTGATATAGCAGACTGAACTGAGTAAGACAGGCTCCTCCCTCGTTATCTCATTTCAGCTTGGTTAGCTTTGTAGAGGCCCTGTCTCCAAATCAGGTCACACTGTGAGGTACTGGGAGTTGGGACTTCAACTCCTGAATTTGGGGGGAACACAGTTCAACCCATGACAGAAAGCTTTTCGGCTTCATCAGTCCTCTCTGCAGAGTAGGGGCAGCCAGCGGAAACTCCGGGACTGCTGCAAGGTTCTGCCGTTTGTGTGATCTTTTCCTTTTTACCGTCATTTCATTTCAACTTTATTGTATTTAAAGAAATGCTAAGCAGCTCTTACATTTAAAAGGGATCTCAAGAGGAGAAAAACCTTTCTTTGAAAATCCGTCAATGTTGTTCTAAATGAAAAGAGTAATTTCTGAGTAAGTTTTGACATATGAGGCCCAGAATTTAAACTTTTGACATTATACATCGCTGATCTCAAGAAGGTCTGTCCCCTATAGTAATATGTTTATGAACATACAAGATGTGTTCCAATAACAAATTTGTCAGAATATTTTTTGGTAAGTGTAGAAATAATACAGAAGACATAGAATTTTATTCATGGACATTAGGAAAAAAGGAGAGGATCATGATATATGAACAAAAATAATAGTATATATGAAAAAAAATTAAAAATCTTGAGGTAGGGGCCAGCCCCATGGCCGAGTGGTTAAGTTTGCAAGCTCTACTTTGGTGGCTGGGGTTCGCTGGTTCGATCCTGGGTGCAGACCTACTCACCACTCATCAGGCTATGCTGTGGTGGCATCCCACACAGAAGAATTAAAATGACTTACAAGTAGGATATACAACTATCTACTGGCTTTGGGGAGAAAAAAAAGAAGAAGAAGATTAGCAACAGATGTTAGCTCAGGGCCAATCTTCCTCACCAAAAAAAACATTAAAAAAACCAATTGTGATATATTTTTTAAAAAGTCTTGAAGTAGAGAAAATGCTTAAGACTGGCTGAAAGGA